CCTGAATCTAAATTCAGGGCACTCTCCTTCAGCTAAACATAAAGTCAGAGGCCTTTAAACATATAAATATGTAGAACACATGCTCTACACTCCCTTTCTATGAAGGGCTATGTTTGGGGGGCGGGCTCATGGGTTCATTGGATGGACTGGGCAAGAGCAGCCGTCATCTACCAAATATACTTCTCCCTGTGACCCGACTGAGCTGCCACTCACTGAGCCCTTAATCAAAAGTCCCCTTGTTACTGGCTTTCACTGCCACTAAAGAGGCAACTGTCATGGACTCTACTTGGTGTGACTTTGGTCTCCCTAGTGGTCAAGAGCATGCTCAGGTCAGTGAGAGTCTGGTGGCCCACTGGTTTCCTCTACTGTGCTCAGTGACCCTTGACCTCTCTGGGGGTTTCACTTCAAAAACAATGAGAGTTGTAACAGTTCTTATTTCTCAGGAAATAATATAAAGAAGTACCAATGAAATTAAATGTGTATGGTAAATACTTGGAGACTGTCAAATTGAGAGTAGAGAGGATATTATGCAACTTGTGTCTTCAGTTTGTCTTTTGTTTTTGAACTTCTCGCTGGGCATGTGGGCCTGGCACATTTTTAGCTAAGCTATGTTAATGAGCTGGCAAAGTAACAGCTATTCAATCACACATATTACCTGTAGTGGCCTCTCCCCACTAGGTGCTGGGGAGACACACATGGTCTTACCCTAGGTTATAATCCAGTATTCACTGATGCAGAGAGGACTCAAGGAGGTACTTTTGGTATGCTGTAGGGGATGAAACATAGGTGCAGATAAGTCTGACCTGCGATAATGAAGTCTGAGCTTAACACAAAGCACTCTGAGAGCTTAGAGGGAAAAAGAACTTCTAGTCAAACAGTAAAGGATTCTCATCAAGGAAGGGATGGGCTTCATGCTTCATTGAACGGTGAGCAGTTGCTATGGACAGAGGCAGGAGCAAGAAGTCCAGAGGGAGGAAATGGCTTGCAAAGACAATGGCTAGTGCTGATCTTTTAAGACTGAGGCAAAAGCCGGGAACTCAAGCATACTGAGTGCCTACTGAGCGTCAGACACTGTGCTAAGTGCTTCAGATCCACCTGGATATTTCATCCTCTTAAGAGTGTTGTGAGGTCCATGATATTCTCTTCATTTTACAGAGGGAACAGACTGAGGCTTGGAGGAGTTAAGAAACTTGCCCAAGATCACCAAAGCCTATCTATTCTCTTTGTGTTTGAGTCAGGTCTGGGCCTGACTCTGGAGGATGTTGAATGGCAGGTGGGGGTGTCTCCCAAACTGTGGTGAGTCACTGGAGGATTTGAGCAGGGACATGCCATGATCAGAGCCAGAGCTTAGCCACTCACATCTCAGCCCTGACTCACTGAGGGTCCCAGAGCAAGATGCTGCCCTTCTCTGGGCCCTCAACTCCCTGTTTGTGAGCTGAGCAAATTACCTTCTGGTTCTAAGATCTTACGGGGCTGTTTTGGTTTCTTAAGGCTGCCATAACAAATTACCAGAAATAGGGTGGCTTAAAACAACAGAAAGTTTTTCTCTCACAGTTCTGGTGGCTGGAAGAAGGCAGCATGCTTCCTTGCCTCTTCCTGGCTTCTGGCGGTTGCTTGCAATCCTTGGCATTCCTTGGCTTGTAGACATATCACTCCAGTCTCTTCCTCCATCCCACATGGTGTTCTCCTTGTGTCTTCTCTGTGTGTGTCCAAATGTGTTTCTTCTTATAAGGACACCTATCATTGCATTAGGGCCTACTCTAATCCAGTACGACCTTACCTTTAGTTGATTACATCTGCAAAGACTCTATTTCCAAATAAAGCCACATCCACAGGTACCTGGGGTGAGGACTGGAACCTCTCTTTTTTAGAGACACCATTCAACTCAAAACAAAGGCCATGACAAGAAATTGCAGGAATGTGAGAGGAACAAGAGATACATCAGATGTCTACAAACTAGAGGTCACCATGTGCCCAAGCCCCCAGAAATGTTCTCACCATGACCCTTTCTTACCATGAAGGCCCTCCGTTTATGGGCTGCTTGCTTGGAATGTTTGCCACCTGAACAAGGCTCAGGCAGCAATGCAAAGGCATGAAAAGAGAGTCAAGAGAAGTAAAGCCATGAGCCTTGCAAGTGAGTCTTTCTCATCAGTATCACCAGAAGCAATGACCAGTAAAGAAGGACCGGAGTGGTTCGTCCCCTCTGAAGGTGGAAGGAGGAGCAATCACTATCCCTACTTGGTGTGTCCAATGCTGACTCCCCAGAGCCTAGTGATGAATGAGTGGAGGAATTAATGGACGAGAGAAACCTGGTGCTTCCTATCTGCAGATTTTAGAGTTGGTGATTATTAATTCTACTTCTAGCCTCCTTTCCTTTGTCTTACTTTGCTTAATTTTCTCTGGTCTCAGTTTTTACAACTAGAAGTTCAGAAAAATAACAATGCCCTTTCTCACTTGACTGTTGTGAGGAAAAAAATAATTGCAAAATTACCTGTGAATAAAAGACCCTAGATATTCCACATATAACGACAAGAGTGGGGGGAAATTCAAGGTTCAAATACAGTGTACATAGGATCTTGTAGCCTGTATAACCAAAGCAGTTTGTTCTTTACACTTTTCATTGCACACACAATGACTTGCACAAACAGGCAATCAATGTTTGGTTGAAGTGACTCAAATTAATGACTTATAATAACCATAAATAAAGGGCTGTTGAATTTTTGAAACTCACTCATGTATGAGAATCCACCCATTTTTAATAGGGATAAATGGAGAATGACAGATAATCGAAGGGAGTTTCCCTACTGATTTAGTGACTCTGCAGAGGCTGCCAGATTCCTATTTTCACAACTCCCAGGCTTATGCAAACTGCTTTAATGTTCTTGTGGAAGAAGGTGGTGTAGAGAGTGGCAGAGAGGGAGGCGCAGGCCTGCAAACTTACCTTGGAACAATTGTTCTGCCACTGACACATTTTTGGCCAAGGGGTGAAAAGAAAATCCAGAAACCCACCCACCATCCCTTCTCCCTCTCCAGACAGATGTGGAGCCCAGAGGCACAACAGTGTGGAGCTGGAGAGTAGATAGCAGAAAGTTACTCTAGGTTTGTCCCTGGGTGTGGGTTTCAGGGCTTGTAACTACATTTGTTTAGCCATGGTACAAGTATTATGCAACATCATGAATGAGGAGGAGCACTCTCTGCGTTGCTTTTTGGAAGCTGGCTATGAGGCTTCCAATCCCAAAATCAATGCAACCTCCTGCAGGGGTCAGCTGTTTAGAGAAGCCTGGCTTCAGTGGGAGGGGTCAGCTATGTGGGGGAATTGGGAGGATCTGACCAATCTTCCAGACACAAGCCTCATAGATAAATGTTTCCACTGTCGTGACAAAGTGATGAGGGAAGTGGCTGGATTGTGCTGTTTCCTGAAGTATGTGGGTGGAATGACTTCTGCAGTTGGAGGGCAGGGACCTGGGCTGATTCATCTTTGCAACCCCTTCACTAGGGCAGCAGCCAACACCTTGCTCCACCCTTCACCACAACCTTCATCACTGCCCCCTCATTCTCACTTTGTTCCTCTGAATCTGGATCTCATGATCTTGTCTCATCAGCACCCTCAATTCCCTTCCTCCTTGCTCTTCTCGATGAGCTAGCATCACAATCCCTCAAAATGGATCAATTATACATCTGGATTCTCACCTGCATCATCCAGCTGTTGGGGAAAAAAATTGTTCAGCTGTGAAAACTGTTATTCCACAAACTACTAGGCCATGATCTTGCAGCATTATCTCATTTGCTACCTCTGCAGGACAGGAATTATCCCCATTAACCAGATAAGGAAACGGAGGCTCAGTTAGTTCTTTTCAGTGGTACATATTAAAATGGAAATATTAAAATTATTTGTGCCTTACTTGTCAGTTAAGAATAGTTGCTGCTATTTTAACTTTATAATTTCAGTGTCTTTTTGACTCCCCACCAATCTTGATTAAATTATCACTTTATTTGGTCAAGATTTTTTTGAAGAATGACTATAGAGACCCAAAGTGTTTGCTTTTTCTAAATCTCTCAAGATAACAAAAAATAAAAAAAATCTCTCAAGATAAAGAAATTTAAAAAATTAAAAAATTAATGAAATTTAGGCAAAACGCCTGGCACCCACACAACTCTTAAGCCGACTTTTTATACTTCCATTACAGGGAAATTAACGGTAAAGTGAGGAACAAAAGCCCAGGCCTCAGAAGGGAGCAGCCTCGCTGTTTCACTTTATTTGTAGGAAAGTTTTAATAGAATTCTAAGTGGAACTTTCAAACTTTTTTTTTTTTTTAATTATAGTTGACCTTTGAACAAGGAGGAAGTTTAGGGGCACCGACATCCCGCGGAGTCGAAAATCCTCGTATAACTACTATTTGAAATTAAGCTTTTAAATCTGATCCTGATGGCTTTCCCTGCAACCTTGCCAAATTCTGGAAACATTATTCATTCTCCCATTCCGAAGGCCAGGTTTTTCTCCCCAATTCGCAGATCTGGAAGACTAAACAAAAAGCTATTTAGTTGATGGGATTGACAGCGGCGAGGCAATACCTTGGAACACCAGCAGAAAACAAGAGCTAGGTGTCAAGGCCAGCTGCCTCGCAGTAAGCACGGAAATATCCTTCCCCCGAGTCTCCGCCCTCTCCTCGACTAAAACAGCCTTCAGGCGGTTAGTACCGCGAACACGAACGGCCAAGTTTTCCAGCTCTTCTAGTTTCTCGCCGGACGCTAAAGACTGACGCACAAATCTGGACGGTACCATTCTTTGATTCCATAACTGTATTCAAATTTGAGATAGTATTAGAAATATCTATGAAAAATTAAGCTACTAGGAAATATTTAGATTTATGTTCTATAGTAATGGTAAACTCGAGATATAAAAAGGAGCAACTTATTCCTTTTTACGTTAAACGCGGGCCTCCACTACTTGGGCTCGCTCCTACGCCACTTCCGGGGATTGAGTTCTAGGATACCGGAAAACGCGCTCGTTCGGCAGAGGAGGTTCGTGTGGCGACTGTTTTGCCATGGGCAGGAGGAGAGCTCCAGGTGCTGGGTCCCTCGGCCGGGCCCTTATCCGCCATCAGACTCAGCGGAGCCGTAATCACCGTCACACCGACTCCTGGGTAAGACAGACTTTGTCATCTTTCTCAAACTTTCTGTCTAGTTGTGAGAGTGTGAATGTGCGAAGCGTGGAGTCAGAGGGCACAGGGAAATTTTCCATCGGAGGTGACGAGTAAGTAGGGTTTTGAAGGATGAATGTAAGCTTCTGCCACACCAATAAGCAGGTCCTTCTTCTAGGAGGAACAGAGGACACAGAGGTAGAGGCTTGAAAGGAAGGCTAGTGTGATGATTTGGCTGGAGTGAGATCTTGGGAGGGTCTTAAGTGTCAGAATAACAGTTTGGTCTTTGCTTTATAAGCTATGGGAGCGTTTGGAAGCTTCTGAGCAGGAAAGACACAAAAACTACTTCTTTTTGTATTAATTTGGTCAAAGAATTTACTCCCCTATAGTGTTGGGTTGCTACTAGGAATAGATAAGAACTCCAATTCCTGCTTCACCCCTGCTATTTCTTAGTGGTTTTGCTCAAAGATGAACAACTCCAGATTGTGGCGGGGTCGGCCTAATGTTTTGTACCCCTAGGGACGATAGTTTTAGGATCCTTGAAAAATGGACAATGTAGTTTAACTTGTGCTTGGTATTCTACCATTCATAACCCTAGTTATTTGAGACTTACTAACTTCTCAGTAAGAATCTGCGCTAAGGTCAAAGATGTACCTGGTGCTATTTGTGTGCCACTATCACACCATCAAATTTCCATCCATACAGTATGCAGAGTAAGCAATATTGAGGGCTCATCAGTATTTATCAGGCCAGAGTTACTCTGAACACTAGATTACTGATAATTTTGGCTGATTTTGAAGCAACTTCTTAGTAATATATGCTTTAGGAAGTGATGGAAAGGTTAAATACTAATTCTAAAGAACTGGATTCTAATCTTTAGCCTGATTTTTGCTGATTCTGTAGCCTTGGGCAAACCATGTAACCTTTTAACCTTCAATTTTTGCATTTATTTGTACCTGTACTGAGCATGTAGCCAGGATGGTGTTTATCAAACTCTGGTTTTATCTGGTAATCAGTTAAGTAGGTTGCAACTAGCGATTATTTAACCCAACAGAATAGAATTCAACATGTCAGAGTGTATTATGTAGTAAGGTAACTTTGTCAGGATTATTTTGTTTCCATTTTACTCTACTGAATAGTACACAGTTGTATCACTGTGTATCACAGCACTTGGGTCACTGTATAAAAGATATTTAAGTGTGGGTCTCCATAAAAAATTTTTGACTAACTGTGGCTGCCAGGACCAGAGAACCTGGGTTCAAATTCTACCTCTAACACTTATTAGCTGCAACTATAGACAATTTATTTTATCTATTTAAGCCTGTTTCCTCATCAAGTGAAATAAAGACATTAAAATTTGCTTCAAATGATTTTGAAAATTTAGTGAAATAATGAATGTAAAGTGCCTATCATGAAGTAAAAAAATGCTCATTTAAATGTTAACTATTATTAATATTGACTATGAAGGGGTTGACATCATGCTCAAGACCACAAAAGAGTTCCTTGGGATTTTAGAGTTTGTTTGGATTTCAAGAGCTGATTAGAGTAGCTCTATTTTTACCCTGTTTTATTCATAGTTGCACACAAGTGAACTCAATGATGGCTATGATTGGGGTCGTCTTAATCTTCAGTCGGTGACTGAACAAAGCTCCCTTGATGACTTCCTTGCAACTGCAGAACTTGCAGGAACAGAATTCGCAGCTGGTAAGTTGTTTATTACTGAGTGCCTCTGACACTAATCACATTTCTGTTTTTGCTGACTAGATAGATACAAATAAGCCTAGATGGAAGTGTTTTGTGAACCCTGCTAAACTCATAAATGAGCTGTCTTTAACCCAAAGGCAAATAAATATCCCAGAAGTATTATGGGAAAGTCCAGATGAGCTTAAGCTGTGAGCTACTGAATGTACCACGGTTTTAAAATTCAGCTCCAAAAAAACCCACTTCAACGTATATATCATCGTATCAAGTTCAAGAATCTCAATCTCTCATAGGAAAAAGACCAGTCAACATTATAGTGGACAATACCAGCATTTTCCAGAACGTTTTCTGATACCATTGTTACGAGCAAAGTCCTGGGCTTGCTGCTGTCACTTAGGCAATTTGAATTGTATTTGAAAGCATGTGTCAACACATTATAGTGACTTTTTTCCATGTGTGTAATTTGTTTTAGTCACTGTTCTCCTTTTTTTTTTTTTTTTAATATGTTTCAAAGCACTAAGAAAAATACCTGGCACAGAGATAACATTATAAACTATTATTTCTATTGCTCTTTTATTATTGTAAATGTTATGTTATTTAACAAATTCATTCTTTTGTTCAGAATGCTTTTATTGAGCCCCAGCTACTCTCAGGCACTGCACTGACTCTCAGAGTGCAATGTTGAATAAGACAAATTTTGTTTCTTTAGAATTTTGTTTTAGGTGCAATAAAAGAAGTCTGTAGCAGACAATGGGGTCATAAAAGATGGAGTTAGTACTCATTTCTATCTGAAGGCAGACTAGGGTTGGTTAGGGAAAGCTTTACCCTGGGCTGAGTCGCAAAAGATTGGTAGATGTTGGAAGGATAAGTGAGATGATACAGCAGTCAGAGGACTCAGACTAAAATGTGAGCAGCAGCCTACGTTGTTCAAAAAATGGTTAGAAGCTTGGCCTTGCTGGTCCTTGCAATACACAGGGACAGGATGTGATGAGCGTACACTGGGGAGGTGGGCAAGGGCCAGGTTCTGGAGAGAATAAGGGCTTTAAAGAAACTTTTGAGGGGTGTTTGCAAGCATAAAACATGATTTCATATTTTATTAAAGATCACTGGTGAATTTTGAGGAAGACCAGTTAGGAGACTTGATTTAGTCCAATCAGGGAAGCAGGCCGGAACTGAAATAGCAATAGTAGAAGAGTGAGGAAAAGGATAGGAACAGTATTGTCAGGGAGCAGAATAAACCAGACTTTGTGCAGGGGGTGGAGTAAGTGAAGAATAACGAGGAGTAGTAGAACCATAATTGGAGGTAAGAGAAAAAGGGAGTGGAAAGTAAGGAAATAGAGTTAATGAGAGCTTTGTATTCTTTTGAGGTACAGTAATACCTTGGTTTGCGGGTATAATTTGTACCGGAAACAAACTACTTTTATTGCAAGACATAGCTCGTTTACCAAGTTAAAATGTATTAGAAATGTTTGCTCGTCTTGCGGAACACTTGCAAACCAAGTTACTCGTAACCCAAGGGTTTACTGTATTTGACTATGACAGGGAAAGAAAGGTGTGTGTTTATATATGTATGTGTGCATGTGTGTATAAGATCAAGGTTAATATTAGCATGTGCATATGTTATGGGGTGAGAGCCAATAGAGAGGGAGAAGTTGAAAATATAACATTTTGTTTGGCAGTATCTATCAAAAATTTTAAGTGCATATCTATGACCCAGCATTTCCACTTTTTAGTACCTATGCTAGAACAGTGGTTCTCAAATTTTAGTGAATATCAGAATTATCTGGAAAACTTGTTACAGAGATTCCTGGGCTCCCTTTCTGGTGATTCAGTAGGTGTGAGTTGAGCCTGAGAATTTGCATTTCTAACAAGTTCACAGGTGATGTTGTATTTTATTTAACGGTGAACACTTGGAAACAGCCTAAATGTTCAATAGGTGGCAAAATGGCTAAATAAACTGGTATAGACATACTATGAAATACCATTTGGCAGTTTAAAAAAATGTGGTAAATTTCTAGATACTAATATGAAGGATCTCCAAAATCTATTATCAAATGAAAAGACCAAGTTGCAGAATAGTGCATATAGTATGGTACCACTTGCATTAAAAAGATAATCTAACCTGAGTACTACACATACTGTAAATTTCTAATCATTATGTTGTATACCTGAAACTAATATTACATGTCAACTGTAATTAAAAAAAAATTATTCAAAAAAATCTGACCAATCCATATATTGTATGTGTATATTACGGAAAAAAAAACTTGGAAAGCTACACATTTAATCGGTATCCTCAATGGAGGGAACTGGGATTGCACAGGTGGGGAGGAGGTTGAGGAGGGTTGGTCAGAGAAAATGTATGCCTTACTGTATGGTTGAAGTTTTTATAAGGAGAGTTTATGTAGTGTGTAACTGTGTAATTAAAAATTAATTTTTAAAAACCTGAAAGAAAATAGAGATTAATGAGGAAATGGAGCAAAGTTTGAGTCCCAGAGGAAGTAGGGATAGAATAGGCTCGAAAACAAAATTGGAGATTAGCTTTGTACAAAAGGAGGAGTGCAGCTTCTACTGAAGCTGAAAGAAGGACGCCAAAGGTGGGTGCACACATTGAGAAATGTGTGCCAGATGAGAAGTTGAGAGGGTGCAATCTAATGGCTTCATTTTTTTTCTCTTATTAAGGTAGAAGGTCATCTTCTGAAAGGAAGTGGGCAAAGGAGGATCAGGGAGCTTGAGATTATTTACAGTTTAGGGAATGGGAGAAATGAACCAAGAACATAGGAGAATTTTCTTCCTTCTATGGGAAGTCCTAAGGACTTAGCTAATGTTGAGCCCATACACTTATAGTGGCAGTGTGATATTGGATATGACAAGAAATACACACACACACACGGTGCAAAAAAAATGTATACACATTTTAAGAAAGGAAAAAGCTATTAAAATTGTAAAATTCAATATATACTGATAAAAGATAAATACAAGTCATGTATATACATTTTTTTGGAACCTACAGTATATACTCATATATGACCTTTGGAATCTCTGGAGTGATGAGTGTCTTTTTGTATGCTAATGTGATTATTGGTGGTTGGGGACCTCTAGATAACTTCAGGATGAGGGTTGATCTCCAGACAGACCTTGGAATAGAGGGCTGGAACTTTCAGCCCACCTCTGGGGAGGTGAGAGGGACTGGAGATTTTCTTAATCACTAGTGGCCAGTAATTTGATCAATTGTGTCTACATAATAAAATCCTATAAACCTCTTGAAATCCAGTAAAATTCCTTGTTAAAATTTATTTCATATCTTCTCTTCCTTTCTCTTAATAATGTAGAGGTGATAGAAGTTCACCTCAATTCTCTATGACCTGCAATGGCACTTGTCTGCTGGACACACAGGGTCAGGGATTCTTAACTTGGAGATTACAAGTTTCAGCTGTCTGTGAGCCCCTCAGATTCCATGCAAAATTGGGCACGTGTGTGTGTGTACATGTAAGTACACGTGTGTGTACACGTAAGTAATTTTTGGATTGGATAATGCTCCATAGTTTTTCAGTAGGTTCTCATATGAGTCCCTTACCTAACCAAAGAGTACAAAATAATGAGAAATCCCACGTGTTCACTGGGGACCCTCCACTTTTTTAAAGATGGCACAGATAGCATTCATTTCTTATTTTTAGCAAATAAGAGGAAGGTATGATGTGATACATACACATATATATACACACACACACATATATATATATATGTATATACACATATATATATATAGTTTTCATCCATAGTTTCTGATACAAAAGCTTCTGAAACCCTTGTAATTTCTTGAGTAATAGGGGCTAGAGGAGAAGTGACTAGTGAGAGCTGTTTGCCACAGGAGCCAGCCCTGTGATTAGAGGGTTGGAATTTTCAGACCCCCCCGCCCCCACTACCCCAGGTAGTAGAAATTGAGCTTATCACCAGTGGCCAATGATTTAATCAGTCATGCTTACATGTCTGAAGTGGACCAGTCATGGTACTGTGTCCTTAAATCTGTGGAGTCTTTATAGTTAGTGTCAGAATAAAATTGAATTTTAGGAGACCCAGTTGGTTGGAGAGTCAGAGAATTGGTGTGGTAAAACCCACATATTTGGTGTCAAAGGTGTTGGTGGTAAACAGACAGGTGTCTACATTCCTGTGTGATTACTTGTAGCAGCACTCAAAACATTGCTACTGAAATAAGAACCAGAAAGGATAGTTGGCTTTACCTAAGGTTGGAGATTTGGGAGTGGGTACAGTAGAGTGAAGAATGTTGATGTTCAGTTAGCAGTGGTTGAATGTATGTACCATATGGTTTTAGCCAAATAAGGAAAGAAGTGAAGTTACAAACTGGATGATGGACTGGGGGAAGAGGAAACAAACAAGGGGCCAGAGGCATGTACAGTGGTTGGACATTGTGTGGGAGATCACCATTGGAAGGAGGAATGAAAATGTAAAAGAATTATCAAATATGGGGCTTGGGTGTTTTTTGGACTGTTGGTTGAGGATAACATGTAAGAGAATATGGTTGGGTTGGCTGTAGTCTAGGTTACCAGACTGTGCAGACAAGGTCATCGATGGATTGGTAATCTAAAGAGGGTTACATACAGACTGCAGCCTTTTCTTAAATGTCAGGACAAACTTTGGTGAAGATGTCCTGTTATCTTAGAATAGGACCTTCCCTTGGCATTTTGGTAAGAAGCTTAGCTGGCTTTATAGGTTCTTTTCCGTGGAGTCACTGGCCCAAGGAGACAGGGTGACTGTGTGGTAAAATAGAGAAGCCTGGAGCAACTCGGGGAGGGGATGGGAATCGAGCCCTGTCACGGAGGTCTCTGTATCTCATACATGTATACTTCACATTTATTTTATTCTTTTGACTTCTTATATGGCATTAAGTGTGGGTGTTCATCATAAATATATAAGTTATAACAATGTAGTAACTCGCCAGTTCTCATAGGAGTGAGTCTCTTTGCTGAATCTTTGCATTTCCACCCATTCCCGTTGTCATTCCTTCCACTTTTACTGCATATAGCATAGAAGTTTTATAAAATCAGTACTTGAAAAAATGGTTGACCTTTTGAAAGATTTAGTGAAGATGGTTTATTATTATTCCTTTCTTATTTTTTTTTTTTATAGAAAACTTCAGTTGTAAATTATAATTTATCCAAGGCTAGAGGAATCTAAATCAAGAAAGCTTAAATTCTGTTTTAGGTGCTCATATTGTTAGTTTCCGAAGTAATGACCAACATTCACTATCTACGTATATTGCCTCTTAAGTAACAGTAGTTTTCTTTTCCATAAACAGAGAAGCTTAATATTAAATTTGTGCTTCCTGAGGCTAAAACTGGACTGCTCTCTTTTGAGGAGAGCCAGAGAATTAAGAAGCTGCATGAAGAAAACAAACAGTTCCTCTGTATACCGAGGAGGTGAGTTGCACAAGAATGTATAGCACAAGGCATATCAAAGCCACTGAGTATAAAATTTTTACTTTGTTTTTTTTTTTTTTTTTTTTTTTTTTTNTTTTTTTTTTTAGCTGAGCCATCCTGCTACCTGTTGGCAGCTCAGCGGCTGCTCAGCTTGGGCTGGACTCGAACCACTGTTGCTCAGAGCTCAAACTCTTGAGCGAGCTCTTAGCCAACTGAGCCACTCGGCCGGCCCCCTAAAATTTTTACTTTGGTATTCACCTTTTTCCTGCCACCTTTTTTCAGCTGCCATTATTACACCCAAATCGTCTGTTTTATTTTGGTAACTAACGTGAAATATTTTTTTCTCTATGATTGTTTTCAGACCAAAGTGGGACAAAAAAACTAGCCCTGAAGAACTCAAACAGGCAGAGAAAGATAACTTTCTAGAATGGAGACGTCAACTTGTCCGGTGAGGGTTAGATTATCTCAAGATTTGCCTTGAAATTCTGAGTCAGGCATTTTGGTGTGCTTGCATTGCTCTTTGCATTTTGAAAGCTTGTTTCTTTTAAAAGAGAAGTGGTAGATTTCTCCTTTTAAGCACAAATTGGTGTGTGTGCAAACAGTATTGTTGGGCACATGTGAATCCTTGTACAAAGATGGTGAGTTAGTTACTCTGTTCCATTCCTGGCCTTTTCTCCTTTTCATACCCTTCTCCAGCCATTAGTCACCCTGGAATTGATCACTGCTCTCGAGCATTCTTCTAGGAAGAGATGTCTGGGACCAGTGTCACTTTGTGTGATAGATGAACTTCCAGGGCTTAAATAGATTAACTATAAAACTTGAATTTGATTTTCATATTGACTCAGCAGAAAATATATAAAAATAATTTGACAGTTAATAGTTGTGTACTAATTTTTTAATGCAGTGAGTTTTAGTGTGTGTATTTTGCTTAAAACCTTCTACTATAATATGGCAAAGGTATAAACTTCTCATTTTAAAGCCAGGCTAGAAGAGGAACAAAAGCTGATAATGACTCCATTTGAAAGAAATTTGGACTTTTGGCGCCAGCTTTGGAGAGTGATTGAGAGAAGGTAAATTACCATTTGGGGGCGGGTGGTGATGATGATGTTGTGGAGGTGTTACATTAGATTTGGATGTTGATATATGTTTATAGGCCCAAGGATGGGGCAGGAGGGGAGGGCAGGATTAAGCTGTGCAAAGGGTTGTTGAGAATTATTATAAAAACAAAGTGTGATATTATAGTTCTTTTAAAATATAGATTTTTTGTTATTAGAGGAACACATTGATAAACTTGTAAGAATAACAAATGTGTACTGTAAGATGAGTTCTAAAGCACCTATAATTATTTTAGCTAATATATATTGAATTCCTCCTGGTAATATGAAAATACAGGTGTAAAAAGGGGTAGGTATCTGTCTGCAAAAAGTAAATATGCTATGGGGAGGGCCGGCCAAGTGGCGTGTTGGTTAAGAGCTGGCTTGGGACACCAGCTCTGAGCAGCAGGGCCCTGGTTTGGATCCCACATGAGGGCCAGTGACACTGCCCTCTACAGCTAAGATGGTGAACAACAGCCCGACCTGGAGCTGGGCTGCCGTGAGTCACCGGTGACAGCCTAGGCTGCAGCCCCTGCTGCAGTGGGCTGCCATAAGTTACCATGAGTGGCTGGCAGCCAGAGTGAGCGGCCGTCAGCTGGCATGAGCCGCTGTGAGAGGCCATCCAATGACCAGCGACCAATCTGCCTCACCCAGGAAGAGCGCAATGATAATATCAACATGGGCCAGTGAAGCAACATCCTCCACAACTAGACTGAAGAACAAAAGGACAGCAACTTGTCTATTCCCCTTCCCCGATTCCAGAACACTGTTCCCCTCCCCCAATTCAAATTTCAAAATTCAAATTTCCCCAGTTCAATTCAAATTTCAAATTTTAAAATTTCAAATTTTAAAGTTTCAAAATCTTAAAATATATATATATATATATGCTATGGGGAGCAGGCCAAGCTAAGCGCCAGGCAGCAGGCACACGGATAAATGAAATGCAGTTTTTGCACTCAGATAACGCAATATCTAGTAAAATGCAAAGCAGAGTGTGATTCCTGTTACAGATAGAAAGGTGTTGGGCCAAGTCGTAGCAGAGGAAGGAACAATTGATAAGGAGTGGGGAAATCAAGGTGTGATTTGTTTTAATTGGGATTTGAAAAGAAGAGAATGATTTTGATAAATTGAGTATGGGAGATTTTCAGGTTTTTTTTCATGTCCTGATTGTTAGAAATTCGTGAATCCACTTTCTTCAGTTTCACTTCCTTGGTATAGTTAAAAGGTTTTTGCTTTCTTCTAAGGATTTGAGGAAACATTTTGGGACTTAACAAGGACTCCATATATGAACCTTATATTTTTAATGATGTTTATTAAACCAGGAACCTTCAGGATGTATATATATATATTTTAATCCATAAAATATACCCAGTAATAACGTTAGGAAACAGGATGCGTTGACTGGTTCTTGGAAAAGAATATTAGCACATTTAGCATTGTTACGAAGAAAACAGGACTTGGATTAAACTTGTAAATGGTTAGAGAGGAATTACCTGGTTGAATGGAACAGGTGAGCAGACCCAAGAGCCCCCTAACCAGGTTGAGTTTAGTCCCACACCTCACCCTCACCTTGAGAGCTAGATCTGATGCTTCTAATCCTAAGCTTTCTTGGAGCTCTGGGGCATAAACAGACTTGCTTCTTATTGGTTTGACATTTCTTAGTTGCTTTTCTTTCTTATCTCTTTGTCCTCATGAGTTCCAGCCTTTACGTTCATTTTTGTAGGTTTTAAGAGAGAACAGAGGTAACCATATGTGTTTTTCCATGTTTAACAGGAAGGCCCTTTATCCCCCTAAATAAGCAGTTGGTTTCCCCAGAGTGAGCCCATACTTGTTGAAACTTCTAGCTTCAATTGGATTACAGTGTTACTTGCTCTATTTTTTTTTTTTTTGGTATTTCTCTTTTTATAAAAGAGAACATGTTTCTAATTCAAGGAATATAGTTTATATTACATGAAAGTGGATCTGAGGTATATAAAAATACTATCAATAAAGTGACTACTGCCACATCTTTTAACAGGAAATATTTATTGGTGTGGTCTGTACAGCAAATGTCTCATTTTTGGCAACAGGCAACTAAGCCGTCTGCCTCTTTAATTTCAAGAGTAGTTATTAGAAAAGATTTGATGTATGACATGTCACTGAAACCCAGGAAACTCCTGCAGCTCTGAGGGTAGAACACTATTCCAGTAAGATAAGGCACTTCCATTATTGCATAAACCCTTCCTGGTACACTGTTGGCACTTCGCTCTGCATCCTAATTCAGCACACGAAGCAAGCTGTCTTAAATTTGTCTTCTTGCTGATTTTTCTAAGCTGATTATTCTTTCTGCATGTTTAGCAGGTAAATATAATGTTTGTAGACTTTATAATTTTAGTTCATTGAGCTTTGTCAATTTTTTGCAACCATTCCTGCCTTTACTGTTAAATCCTCACAGTTTGAAAGCAGTAGCTATTACCTTAAAGAAGAAAATACTAGGACCTGCTTAATTTGAGAATTTAAAAACAATGCATCATAGATAGCAAGTCTGTGAGTTCTTTGGAATCACACAATTATGCTGTAATTTTAGCTCTTCTGAAGGAAATACACTTTGTCAAAAGCCCTCTCATAAATGGTAACTGATGTAATACATTCCCTTGGTGTTCAGCATAGTTGCTTAAGAGTTACCTCAGAAAAGGCCAACATTTGGATTTTGGGGGAGACTGCTGTAAGGTGTAGTGCATCTGTGGCTTCCTCCCTCCCCGTGGCATTCATAGTTGGCCCTTAAAGAAAGTGTGTTTCCTTCCCACAGAGGCTGCAAGAAGGGAGGGTCCTCCCGGAGAAGTGAAATGTTGATTCTTGCAATGCTGGGCTGCTGTTGTCCCCACCAGATTTTTGAGGGGTTTGAGGGGCTTGCTATCAGCTGCAGAAAGTTTTCTTATTGCTACATCTTATAAGTTGCACCCATCATTCTTTTTTCGGAATGGCAACTTAAATTGATATTTTGCTGTTTCGTATTTTTGCTGTTTCAACATATTCTGGAACAGATGAATGATTATTTGCCAGATACAAGCTTTCTCTTGTCAGCCCTGGGTTTAAATGAGATACAGGCTTTGCTAGGGCCAGCTGTCAGCAGGTGATATATTAGTTTTTTTGAGGCCTTAACAATGTAGATTAGGTACTGAATATACAGTAGACATCACCTTGAAGAATTTGGAATGCTCTTTTATCTTTCCAAGAGAGTTTACTGGAAGACACAGGTAAAGCTTTAGCAATGAAACCTCATCAGAGCCCCTCTACGCCATATTAAGAGCATGAGAATGTTATGATTAAGAGCATGGCCCCTGCTCCAGACTGCCTGAGTTCATTCTGGTTCCATCGCTTAGTAGCTGGTGACCATTGACAAGTTACTTAACTGTTGTAAGCTTCAGTTTCCTCATATATAAACTGGGGATAATTGTACCTTAAAAAGTTAAATATGTCAAATGCTTAATGTATGAAAAGTGTTTGCTACTATTATATGGTCAGTGTTTTCATTCACGTCACAGTAATTGGAGTATCTCACATTTGTTTTGCAGCGATATCGTGGTGCAGATAGTAGATGCTCGAAACCCGCTCCTGTTTAGATGTGAGGATTTGGTAAGTACATTGTGACAAGATTCAAACTGCAAGTCCTTGGCACAGCGGTGGGAGGACAGCATCACTGTAGGATAGCAGTGACTGTAGGCAAACACCTTATTTATTATCCCCTGTGGTGCTTTACAAATAAACTAAGTTTGTAAACCACAGGGGGCAATAATTAAGGTATAAGAATCACAGGAAATAATGTGATACAGGCTTTGAGTTAATAAAACACTGTACACACATGAAGTATTCCTACTGAGGACCATTGTAGTAATAATACAGATTTTTTTTTTTAATCTGCTGGTGAATAACAAAACTCTTAATGGTGAAACTCTTAGGAAGTCAGCTTTTCTACTTCTGGTGTATTTCCTAACAAAGAGCCAAACCTGGGAATTATTGGGTTGTTGGAAAAGTCATGACACATTTTTGCAATGAAAAACAGAAAAAATACGTTATGACTTTTCCGACAACCCAATAATTTCAGTTACTGAGTCTCGGCTTTCTTTTTACATTGAAAGATGAGAGTGCTTGTTGGCAATCATCACTTGGCTGAAGACCAGTCCCTGCTGGCTGACAAATCTAGTTATGCAGTTCTTTAACTTTGTTTAAAAGAAACAATTCAGTATTATTATAGAGAGGAACTACATTGTTTAAAGAAAAAAGAACCTGATGCACATCAACAGGGTAGGAAAGCATTTCTTTTTAACCCTTCCAATTTCTTAAGTATTAAATGACCTAACTACTTTTCAAAGCTTACTGAGAGGATCAATAGACTGTGCCATGATTTAAAATCTTTAAATTAGGAATGATTTAAAAATGGGGCAGTAAAAACTTTTAGTCACAGCTGGTGATGTTTGATATAATTAGCCTAATTTTTACCTTTTTGAAGAGGCCTTCCAAAATACCTTTGTCTTGCCTAGGAATGTTATGTAAAAGAAATAGATGACGAAAAGGAAAACGTTATTCTGATAAATAAGGCAGACTTGTTGACTGCTGAGCAGCGGAGTGCCTGGGCCACATACTTCGAAAAAGAAAATGTGAAGGTTATTTTCTGGTCAGCTTTGGCTGAAGCCATTCCATTGATTGGTGACTCCAAGGTAAAGTGGGGGACTTTTTCAGGTTGGGTTTCAGGAAAGAGGGTTTTAGTTTCTGATTAGTGTGCTTTGCTTCTTACTGGAGATGTATGGGAATTTGGGGGTTTTGTTTGTTTCTTTTTTTCCTAAGGATGACCTGTAGAAAGTTGAGTCACAAGATTACTTTCTCTGGTTGTCGAATACTTTGCTCTCCCCATGGTTCTATGTTACACACTGATATTAGCTGTAATTTTTAATGTTTTAAAATGTTAGGCAGGAAGTTTTATAATGACCTCATAATTGCTTTTAAGAGGAGCCAGAACAAAAAGAAGTCAGATACAACTAAAGGATGTAGGAACTTCTCAGGACTGATTAAAATCTTTTTTTACTTTGTTTTGAAAACAAAGAAATGAAGTAATCCTAAGTTAAGACTTACCATGTTATTGTCTATGTCTTTTAACCCGGATTTTACAGAAACAGTTTGGGGTTTATTTTCCCCAAAAAAATTATTTATTAACTGTGAAAAGAAATTAGTAATAGAGTGTTAGAGCTGGAAGAGACTTAAAGAATGTCTTTTTCCCTAACCTCCTCCTTTCCTGTTCTCTTATCTCTGTCAACCCCCTATTGACTATTTGTGTGTTGAGCTACATGCTGTGAATACAACACCTACCCTCTGCTGAGCTCACAAGTTCGGGAGCTCTGATTTGGTGAAGGAATTCTTTCCTCTACCTCCCTGGCACACAGTCCCATGATCTCTGATAGGACTGTTAAATGACAGAGAGACCAGGCAGCTCAGTCTTTTTATCTCTAAGTTTAGAAAGTTCTTCAGTGAAGCTAAGTCATTCCCTCACCTTTGATGTAAGGACCTTCCCTTTGTTTCCCTAGTTCTCTCTTCTGCAGACGATAGGTTTTCTGCTCTCCTGTTCCTGATACACATCATCTCCAGGGCACTCATTGTCCTGAGCGCCTGTCTGCCTATGTCAGGATAACACTCAAAATTGGTGACACCAGATTAAATACATTATTCCAGGTGTGGTTTTCCTAGGGCATATACACAGGGACTTATTTCTTGTGATCAGGATATTCCCAGTAATTCAGTTTTTGTTAATTCACCCCCTTTCAGAGGAGCTATATTGTGCTCTTGGCTCATTGAATCTGGGAACAACAAAATTCTTCAAATATTTAAAAGAAAAGACATATTAAGCAGATCTCATCCCATCCTTAAATTTGAAAAAGTTTTTCATTTTGTTTTTACCTCAACTTAGGACATTAGTATTCCTTTTAAATATGACATTAGTGATGTGAGGCCAAGGTAGGGTTCATTTTGGATGTGCAGTTGCTTTTCTCTCCTGGCTTTGAATCATCTGCAGATTTTGTGTGTTTTCCCTTCTGTATATCTTCTTTTCAGTCACTGATAAAATTGTTGAATAGATTAGGACCAAGGATAAAGTTCCCTAACCTTTTGTGGACTTACTCAGTACCAAGTATTTTAATGTGATGAATACAAATATGTTTACAAGGATGTAATAGTAACAATTATTTTGTTATTGGTGTTAATAAAAAGTGACCCATAGAAAATTCATTCTCTGCCAGGCACCACTATTCTGAGTGCTGCATATATTTTATTCATTTAATCTTCTCGACAATAAATGTAAGTGCTTATTATCCTCAGGCTTCACAGTTCGTCTTCTTAACCATCATCTCTGTTGCTTTAAATCTTTCCTGAAAGCCAACGTCTTGCTGAAGCTTTTAAATAAATATTTATCACTGTATTGCTTAGCCTTGATGCACCAATCCAGTAACCTGTCAAAAATGGAAAAAGGGTTAGTTTCTACATCTGTGAGATTCCCTGAACTGTTAACCAAGTAGCAGATTCTAAAGGGAAATAGAATTTGTTGGCGTGATCTACTCTTAGGGAACACTTGTTGCCTCCTGTTGCTGACTATCTTCTTTTTAGGGCTTGCCAGCTAATTTATGGAATTGTTTACATACCAGATTCTGGGCTTACAATGTGTGGTTTATAGAAGATATTCTTGCTTCCTTTTTAAAAGTTATACCTCATTTATTCCTCCTAGGTCTTCTGAAATGTTTTGTTTTTCATGATTTCCCAAGATAAAATACCAGCTACCATTGTGATGTCCTATCTGTAATCATATCTCATTTGAGTATCAAACATAAACTTATTAAAAATAGTTTGATATTCACTGTTTTCTCACCAATGTGAGGTTTGGTTCTTCCTCTATAGTTGTTTAACCCCTTCTCATTTTAAAAAATATGACTTTTTTTGAGTTGAGTTCCTTTGTTTTTTCTTGGTCATTTGTTAAATTGCAGTATGTTCCCCCAAAGATTGACTTTTTTCTTTTTGTTTTCAGTGTAACTACCACAATGTCTTTTGGTTGTCTTTACCATTTTTCCTGAACCTAAACTGCTTCTAGCTTTAGTTTTTCTAATATACATACATTCGTGTTCAGTATACATTCTTGTTTTCTGCCTCTTTCATATTATAAAATGATTCAGAAGAGCGCAAAGTGACTTCTTTACATTCATTGCTCATTTATCATAGAAAGTCTTTCCAGTTCCGTGTTTCTTTTTGAATTGTCAGCATTATCTGGAGTTACACCTATTTTCCTGACCTCTCTTTTCTAAAATTTAGGATACCTGTTTAACCAAGTCCATTATGTCCCCTTCTGTGGTGGCTACTCATTGTAACACTAGATCCAAACCAGTTCACCCTTAGTTGGTACAAATTAGTGATATTGTAAATTGCCTTATTTCTGCTTTGTTATCAATAGAAATTCAGAGGAATTAACCCATCTATGAATATTACATGATTGTGTCTTTCTCTCTCCAAAGAAAGTCTTTAATTAATGAATAATTTCACACACTGGATTTGAGTTTTGTGGCTCTTGCATTTTACACACAGGAAGCTATTTCAGCAGTGCTCTTGCATTTTACACACAGGAAGCTATTTCAGCAGTGCTTTGATTTATTTGATTTATTAAAGACAATTATAAAAGAATAACAGTTTCCTTAAACATGCAAACCACTGTCCTTAAAAATGCAAATGTAAAATGAAGTTCAGATTACAAATTATGCCCTTCATACTTTGTGCAGAGAATGTTAAATGTTTTATTGTTAATGAGAAGTGCTTTGTTCTGTAGCCCATTGCAAAATAATGTACAGCCAAAGAATTCAACTCAACATGGGCTTTCCTAAACCCTTGCTTTCTTTAAAGGTTTATCAATTACAAAAGTAATGCATATTATTTGTACAAAATTGAAATAATACAGACATGTATAAAGTAAAGGTCCCCACTCCTCCCCCGTCCTGAGGGCATCGCCGTTGACAGTTTGGTTGTGTCCTTGCACTGAAAGGTGTACATTGTCTCCTCCATAACTTTCTATAACCAATCTGAGAATTTTCACTACAGTGAAAAGGGCAGTTGTTTCACACTTCTGAACTTTTGTGGTTTCTATTATTTCATCAGGAACAAGCAAACAGAGATGCTGAAGAAGCTGACACAACTGACTTCGAAAGCTCCAGTGGCCATGAGGCTGAAATTCCACACGGTGACACTGAACACCTAGCCAGGGATCCCCTCTCACTCAGTGAAGTCGTCACTAGTGATGAAGATGACAGTGAGTATGAGGACTGTCAGGAGGAGGAGGAGGAAGATTGGCAGACATGTTCAGAAGAGGACAGCAACCCTGCCTGGAAGGAAAGCTGTGCTGTGGATTCTGAGGCCGATGGCAGGAAAACCCCGCAGAAAAGGCAGACACGGAATTTTAGTCACCTGGTTTCGAAGCAGGAATTACTAGAGATCTTTAAGCAGCTGCACACTGGGAAGAAGGTGAAAGATCAGCACCTTACTGTTGGACTGGTAAGATGAAATGTGTTATAAAGTTGTTAGCCACATGAGGGTCTTTATTCCCCATCCTTTGGTAGCTGCACTGGAACCCCAGAGACATCTGGTTTCTGGCATGATAGGGAGCATTAATTCCTGTCTTGTTGCCCACTGGCATTGTGGGAATAGGCAGTGTGACAGGCAGAGCCCAACTAGAAGAGTGAACTTTCGCGAGGCTTGTATTGGTTACACCCCTGTTTTTATGATCTCCAGCCTCCTTGCTCAGCCCTACCTCATGTGACTGACCAAGAGATACTGGGTTGTCTTTAGACTTCTAGTCTAATGTTCTTACCTTTATGTAAGATAGGCTTTTTAGGTAAGAGAGACTTTTGGCATACTGTGATCCTTGCCAACTTACACTCTGAATGTTCCAGAAGTAGATTAGGGAGAACCCCAGCATCTTGGGCCGGAGAAAATACAACAAATGCTTTAGTTGCATAAACACTACAAATAAGGGAAAGAGATCACATCCCTAACTACTTATACCCTAACTTCAATGTGGCTATGAAAAGTGCCCAAACCCCAAGGGTATATAGTATGATTCGAGGTGGCCACAGCTTTGGCTAAGGAAATGTAAAATGTCAGAGAAGGTGTTTATCCAGGAGAACAAAACATTGGAGGAAAGCAAATCATGGCAAAGTCTTCCAGCTCGTAAATTACATGCCAAGCATAGCTAATCCTAATTAGTTTTGTCCTCCCTCCCCCACCTCCAAAAAAGAAAAGCTTCCTTAAGACATTTTATTTCAGTGCACTGGTCAAGAGAGTTGTGTCTGGAGCGAGGCAGACCTAGGTGTAATTCCTGGTTCTGCAGTGGGCGACAGTGGGACTAACTTGCTGTGGACGTTGGGAAAGGTGCTTAATTCCTCTCAGCTTTAAGGCTTCATTTCTCTCTGTTAGGGCTAAACATTTCTTATCCACATGTACCAGAAAGCCTAACTTCCCTATAAATTACTTTCTTTCTCATGTTTATGGAAATGCTAAACAGCCTCCCTTACTTTCTGAGTTTCTTATTCTAGAAATCCTTAGAATAAGTTAGCTTCCTCATTCTACAGATGTTTATTAATCATTTGCCACATGCCAGGCATCCTGATGGGCCCTAGCAATGAATCGGTAGACAAGACAGACACAGTCCCACCCACCCCCGTTGATCTTGTAATTCCAAATGTGATGAGAATTAGAGGGAAGTTCACTACCCTATAGGAGTGTATATGAGGGAACCTGATGGCAGCTTACAGGGAGGATGACAGCAACAAAGACCTCCAACAAATAACATTTAAACATATAATAATATATTATGTTAATCATGCTGTAAACAAAACATTACGAGAATACTGAAATTAATAAGCAGTTACCTGAAATCTTTAAGATAAAGATTTTGACAAGTGACAATGGAAGGTCATTCCGGAGAGACAAAACGTAAATGTTTAAGCAAAGCCCTGAGAATGGAAAAGTGTGTTTGTGGAAGGGCAAGTGATTGAGTGTGGCTGAAGTGTGATGAATGGCGATGGATAAGACTGGAATGGTGAAGGTATGTCCATTATGAGTCTTATAATAGAGGTGGAAAGTTTGGGATTTTGTATTCAGTGCAGTAGGTATTTTATAACCTTCTAGTCACCTTGATGGAGGATTCTTGGAACCATGTAAGAGAGGAAATTGGATTTGGAGGCCTGGGGGAAAGCCTGAGGAAAATCATAGAACAAGTGTGGCATGATATGAGCCAAAAGTTGGCTTGTCATTTTATTTGAGAACTTCTTTTATTCCTTTATATGATTCTACTTGATCTGAGGCAACATGACATTTCAGATTTATTGGGGGAGAGGCAGAGGTGAAAAAATGGATATTGTCTCACCCAGAACCCAAGAGTAATTGAAGAATTTTAATAGCTTGCTTACACACATCATTTCATTCTTCCATTTAAAATTTTTAGCCAGCAAGACAGAAACTTGCTAATGTTATTAAAAATTAAAAATAATTGTATGTTGTGATGATGAGAGTATCTGTGATGCTCAGCTTCACCCACAGTGTGGAAGATGAATAGAAACAGTGAAATGCCTGGAGGTGGGTAGGTGGGCAGAGCTGGGAACAAGGTGGTGAGTTTTACCATAGCATCTGCTGTTAGAGCAATACCTATAGATATAAAATGTACTTAGCTTGACTGTTCATCCCTGGAGATGAGTCTGAGTAAATGCGCCCACACTGCAGCGGGGGAATGTCTGACAACAAACAGCATCTGTTTCAAATTTCCTGAAGCAGCCAGACACTTAGGCTAATGTTGCCACTATTTATATAATTGGATCTTTGACAGATGTTCTCTTAGACTGTTTAGTAATTTCTGAATTTCTGAGTCTTTTCTAGGTAGGCTACCCAAATGTTGGTAAGAGTTCAACTATCAACACCATCATGGGCAACAAGAAAGTATCTGTGTCTGCCACACCTGGTCACACCAAGCATTTTCAGGTATTTATTTCTGCAGCATTGGCCTCTCTTTCCTTTTCAGCCAGTTCCTCCCTTTGGATATTTTTGAAGTTTTTCACAACTCGTGTGCTGCTCCCCTGTCCCTTCCTGTGCCCAGCATAAACCTTACTTGTTTTTCAGACTCTCTTTGTGGAACCTGGCCTCTGCTTATGTGACTGCCCAGGCCTGGTGATGCCATCCTTTGTCTCTACCAAGGCCGAGATGACTTGCAATGGAATCCTCCCAATTGACCAGATGAGAGATTATGTCCCACCTATGTCACTAATATCTTTTTTGCTTTGCAAAGATTCTGGTTGTTTCGGGTAGGTTAGGGCTTCAGGTTTGTTTTGGACATTGCCTTGCATTTGATGTATTCAGGGTTAATACCTGAGAATGAAAAATCTAAGATACTTATTATTAGTGGTCTGGGTCTGCCCAAGTTTACACAGTGACTTCAGAATTGGAACCTCATGTCCCGAGTGCAGTGGGACAGCCTGGTACACGTGGAAGAGCCCAGGCCGGGACCTCAGCCCAGATGCAAACCTGTTTGAACCCTGATACCATTTGACTATTTGAGTGATCTTGGAAAACTTGCTTAACCTTGCAGGGACTTTCTTTTTTTATAAAATGAGGGTGACAGTAGCTACCTCACAGTCAACTATGAGAATTTAATCATTATGGCTAACATGTATTGAATGCTTGCTCTGTACTTTGCTAAATACTTACCAACTAATATCATTTAATTCTCAAAACTTTTGAGTTGGGTACTGCTGTTGTTCCCATTTCTTCAAACTTGAGGATACTGAAGCATATGGAAGTTAAATAATATGCCTGAGATCTCACAGCGAGTAAGGACATATTCGGAATTTGGCTGCCTCTCAGCAACATAAGGAATTCACTTATGTGAAGCAACTAGGATAGTATCTGGCATGAAAAATGTTAGATCTTTTAAGAACTGCAGCGTCTAAGATTAAACCCTACTTACAAACGAACATGTTCGTCTGTTACTGTTTCATGGGTGCTGGCAAGCGACACGAGGCACCGTGAAATGGCACAATTACTTGCCAGTTTGTAAAAGTAGGGTAAGATCCCAAGCCCTGCCGATTCTTGACACGGCCCTTAATGACAACACGTAAGGCCACATCTTTTTGTTTACCTCAAATTGTTTTCTCTAAGGAATAATGAGTAAGAATTCATTTACTAGGACAAGTAAAATGTATGGCGAAATAGAATACAGTTGTTTAAAAGAACGCACTAAATCTACCGATAGCAGCCTGGATGAGTCTCAGAACACTGATTGCAAACCAGATGAGGTTGCGTTCTGTGGAGGATACAGGCGTGAATCAGGCATGGACCCTGCCCTTTCAGGGGATATGGGGCATGTACATGAATAACTGGTACAAGATGGGATGGTATAATGGCTTAAGGGGAAAAAAACCTCTCCTTGCATGGTCATAGGATTAGAAACACACTGCGCTTTGAGTCAGAATTAGGATCATCTCACAAACTGATGTTTATTTAGGTTAAAATGTATCATCTTTAAGATGTATTTCAAAGATGATATTTTAATAGTTATTTTAAAAGAATTCATTTGGAAGTGATGGTGCCTAAGGCTTTGTTTAAAAGAGAAAAGTATTTTTAAATTAATAATAACTAGTTCTCTTGGAGAGGTGAGAAGGTTTTTTGCCATGGAAGTGTTGAAGTACCTTATTCTCACAAGCACGTGTCAGACACCATGGGAAGGAGGAGGTCAGTTCACGGGAATGGATTCCTTGACGAGATTACATTTGCCAGAATATTCCGAGACATGTTTTCGAAGCTACCTATGGCATTGATATCATAAAGCCTAGAGAGGACGAAGATCCCAGTCGACCTCCAACATCAGAAGAACTGTTGACAGCTTATGGATGTGAGTTGTGATTTATTTTAAAACATGAACAAAAAATAACAATACACTTAATGAGAGAAATATTCCTCTGCAAAGATAACAGATTCAGAATGTTTCTTAAGCATTTGTCATGCCATGTTCCAGGGTTGACATCTTTGTTTTCTCTGTTGGCCTTGCCTATAAAGTGGGCTTCAGGTAGCTGATTTGGTGGTGGTTTCAGGGTCCAACAGTAAAGGAGGGAGAGCGGAGCGCTACCTGAGTACTATTTTTCTTCAGTGTGTTAAGTGCCTTTTAGAGTTAGCAGGAGGTGCTTTATATCCCTTGCCCCTTCCCCAGGTCTGCCCTTCCTAACCTGCGTCTCTGAAGTGAATGCCTGGGGAGACACGTCTTCCCGTGCTCTCCTGGTCTCAGGCCCTTTCCCTGTCGGAGGCCTAGATGTGGCAGTGGTGAAAGCTCCCATAGGGAGCACGGGGCCTGCATCAGCTATCACAGGCTTCTAAAGAAAAAGTCCTTAAGACATTCACTGCTTTGATGGTACCCAAGTGTAGACACAGGGATTCTGATCTGATGCTATATTGGCTTTTTCTGGAGTCTTCTCCCAAGCAGGGAAGAAAAGGGATATTGGGAAGAAAATGAGTATGCTTATCAGAGCAGGATAAGAGAGTTACGAGGAGAGTATCAGAAGGGAAGGTCCTCAGATTCCGACAGGGCAGAGCTTGGTTAGGAAAGGGACACAAAATGTTCCCGTCCCCTTCCATCAGTCCCTCGTAAGCCTTGCTTGACGTTAAAATGAGTCCACAGCTCTCTCGCTTCCATGTTTTACCCCGGTTCTACATGGGAGTTATCTTAGCCTATCATTTCTCTAGTTGATTGTGATATACTTACATTAAATACAAACTTTAAAGGTGATCTGGGGAAACCTGTGTCTACCTAAAGAAATAGCAATGTTAGAAACATTTCTGTGCATGTGTGACTTGCCTTTCAAAGAATTGTCACCAGCTGGGAAGGAGCCCGGTTTGAGTATTTATTGGCAGAGAAAGGTGATTTGATAGGAACGATGCTTAAATCAGACCTTGAACTTACCTTAGTTGAGAGACTTGAAAGAGGATAAATACTAAGCACTTGTGGTAAGGCTGGTATAGGCACAAAGCCATAGAACTAGAGGAGACCTTAAAGATCACCCCACTTTTCCTCCCCCTTCTTAAGACACGTAATCTGAAATCAGGTATGAACTGACTTGCCCGTGGTGGTGTCTGGTCAGTGGTGTAGCCTGGAAGAGAACCCAGATTCCTAACCCAAACCTCTCTCCAGTACGCTGGCCTGAAAGACAGGGAGAGGTGGACTTTCACCAGACTTCCCATCTGATTTGACTTCCAGATAAAACTGAAAGTAATGAGAGTCTTTCAAGATTTTTCATCTAATTCTGTCTGATAAAATCAGAGGGAGGAAAAGGCTGGTTTGTAAAACTGGATGACCACACATGTACAGTTTCTAAGATCGCCATCTGTTGTACAAGTCCATAAAGAATACTTTCTAACAGTTAATTTCAAAAGATGTTGCTAAATAATTTTCAATTTAATTTGTATTTCTTTAAATACTAGTGAAATTGAGCATCTGTCTACATGTGTTAGTCATTTATATTTCTTCTAGGAATCACCTTTTTCTATGCATTGTTTTGTCTTAGTTTATAGGACTTCTTTGTTACACATGCCACAAATGCTTTTCCCAATGTTTATGGCTTCTTTAGCCCTATAGAAGTTAACAATTTTAATAGACTTTTTTTTCCTTTCTTTTTTGGCTTGATTGGATTTTGTTTTTTACTTGGGATGGCTTTCCCTATCCCAAAAGGATAAAACTATATTCCTGTAAAACCGTTTTGGTGTTTTTTTTAAACCTTTAGATTTTTAATCTACCTAAATGTACTTTTGTGTATGGTATAAACTAGGGTTCTAACTATTTTCTTCTAAATTGAAAGAGCCAACACACAGGTAGTATGTGAGGGAGCTGAGTTCTGAACCCAACCTGTCTTTCAAACCCTGGATTCTTATCCTCTGCTCTCTGCTACGCCCATCTAATTGAGTTCTCGTAAAGGGATCTTTGTTGTATGTTTGGGAAACTGGGAAAAGTGTGGAGCTATATGTATATATAGATGAAGAAAATGTGCTCTGTTGTTTTTGGTTTTGCTAATACTATTAACATAATATTCTGTAATCCTCTTTGAATCAATGTTTAAAACTGAGGCGGAAGAAGTACGTGGAGTAGAGAGAAGTTGAATGTGTCTGTCACAGTGTGTTGGGATATCGGATATAACAGTATGGTCTCTTCTCCTGGATTATCAAATGTTTTTATAATGCTAATCAAAATATTTTCTACAATGATAATTGATTTTCTTAAAGATAAAGAGTAAGAATGCATAGTTAGTGTAATAAAGGAAAGGACTAAATTTCCATCACTTCAGTTGTCTTTGTTGTAGTGTTCTGTCTTCTAACTTAGGTTTTGCAAAATTTATTTCTCCTCACAGGTATGAGAGGATTCATGACGGCGCATGGGCAGCCAGACCAACCTCGATCTGCGCGCTACATCCTGAAGGACTATGTCAGTGTAAGGGAAACCTGCTTCTGGTTGCTCTGGAATAAGCAAGGCTTCTTCACAGTCTGTTTTTAGAAAACAGCAACCTGTTAGGTTATAAAGATGTTTTCTCCTTGAGACTGTGTTTTAACTGGAGTTATATTCTTGATCCAGGGGAGCTAGCATCATATAAATCAGAGAAGTGACTGACATAATATGAAAGAGATGAAAATCTCTGAATACTTGTCAATGAAAGTGATAAATTTATGTCTCTGGTTCCATCTCCTACAGCACAACCTTTCATGGATCATAGCTGTTTATATGAGTTTCTCCCTACACTTATCTAGTAACAATAGTTAACATTTATTCAAAGCTAGCCCTGCTAGGAATAGCTCTAAATGTTTTACATGTATTGTCTCATTAAAAGTACATAACAAGTCTGTGAGGTTATTGTTCTCATATTACATATGAAAACATGCTAAGTTTTAGGTTTTCCTCATCAATAAAATAGGAGTTAATAGTACCTATCTCATGAGATTATTATGGAACATAAAGGACAATGTACGTGTGTGGAGATATACACCACACACACCACTGAGCTCAGTGCCTGGCGCGTAATTAACCCCCAATAATTTTTATGTATTAAGCTTAATTCCACAAATAAGCATGACAGGGCCCTAGTAATGACTGGTTTGAGGATTTGGCTTTATTCCCTCCTCTTCTCAATACCACATCAGCAGGGCTCTTAGAGCATAGAAACAAAAGTGGATAGCCATATTCTCTTGCCTTCAATTGAGGAAGAAAGTCATCAGTAGAATATGTATATGAATAAGTTATTCATTTAAAATTTATAAAACTGTGGAGGATGGGAAGATGAGTTAAAAACAATCACAGTTTTTAGAGTGTTTGTGGTGGAAAGAGGAAAATCTGCACCAGTGAACAACTGCAACTAGCCCAGTATCCCCATGAGTTCATACATAGTATCCAGTTGTGTCCTGGTTTTCACTTTGGAAAGTATTCATCATAAGTATAAATCATACAAGTGTACTGAAGAATACTTTACTAGAAATGCAAACGAGTAAAAAGTACAGAGAAGAAAGACTTATTCTAGACTGGGAGCTATGGGAAGAGCTAGGCCTCTGGAACACTAAGGAGCATCATGAGTTTCAGTTAGGACTCTGATTGCAGTTGACCAAAACTCAACTCAGCTAACTTAATGGGAAGGCAGAAAGCTCTGCCAGAGTGTGTCTGGCTGGCAGTGCCTTAGCTGAGGACTTTTTCTTTCTCCTAGGATAACACAGATGGCACTTAGGAAGTGCTGTAATCGTTCATGCTGTCTTTATAGGGGAAACTCCTGTACTGTCATCCTCCTCCTGGAAGAGATCCCGTGACCTTTCAATATCAACACCAGCGACTGCTAGAGAACAAATGGAATGGTGGCGGAATAAAACTTCAGTCAGGTGGAAATAAAAAAGCAAAACAGATTGAAAATATAGTTGACAAAACTTTTTTTCATCAAGTAAGTTTTAAAGTTTTTCTTAATTTCTCATCCAACACATTTTGTATAACAGTTTTATTGGAATACAATTCACACATCATAAAATTCACCCTTTTAAAATATACAATTCAGTAGTTTATATTATGGTCACAGAGTTGTGTAACCACAACCACTATCTAATTTTAGAACATTTTTATCACTCCACAAAGAAACTTTGTACCCATTAGCAGTCACTCCCCATCTCCCTCTCCCCTAGCCCCTGCCAACCACTAATTTACTTTCTCTATAGAGTTGCCTATTCTGGACATTTTGTATAAGTGGAATCATACACTATGTGGTCTTTTGTGACTGGCTTCTTTACCTTGGCATGATGACGTCAAGGTTCATCCATGTATCAGTGCTTTATTCCTTTTTGTTATTGGACAATATTTCATTGAATGGATAGAGCACATTTTGTTTATGTATCAGTTAACATTTGGGTTATTTCCACTTTTTGTCTCCTATGAAGAATGCTGTGGACATTCATATGCAAGTTTTTGTGGATATATATTTTCTGTTCTTTTGGGTATGTTGGTAGGAGTGGAATTGTTGGGTCATATGGTATCTCCATGTTTAACTTTTCAAAGTGGCCGCACCATTTTACATTCCCACCAGCATGTATGAGGGTTGTAATTTGCCAATACTTACTTTCTGTCTTTTTAATTTTAGCCACCCTAGTATGTGTGAAACGGTACCTCATGATTTTGAGTTGTGTTTCTGTAATGACTAGTGATGTTGAGCATCTTTTCATGCGCTCGTTGGCACATGACTATCTCTCCTTTGGAGGATTGCCTATTAAAGTTGAGATGTAAGAGTTCTTGAGATATTCTGGATAGGAGCCTTTATCATATTTATTTTTTACAAATATGTTCTCCCATTTTGTGGATTTTTTCTGAGCCAACACATTTTTAATAACTTTAGTTGTTTACAAAGGTGCAATTTAAAATTTTTTGTTTTGTTTTTTAGTTATAGTTGACATACAGTATTAGTTTCAGATGTACAACACAGTGATTAGACATTTATATCACTTACAACGTGATCACCCTGATAAGTCTAGTACCCATCTGATATATCACAGGTACAATTGTATATAGCGTTTTAATGAACAAACTTATGTGCAGAACAGTTAAATCATATAATTGTACTTAATATATTTTAAAATGATTTTGTGACTATAACCAAAGAAAAGGGGGGGAGGTGCAGGGGTCAGGTGTATCCAGAGAATGATTTTTCTGTATTTATATGGTGCCTTATTCTTGTGCCTCACACAGTGATCTGGGTGAGGCGTGCCACGCAGATATTGTTATCCCCATTTTACCGCTGAGGACATTGAGGCTCAAGGCGGCCAAGTGACTTACCCAAGGACACTTGTTTTAAATGTCAAAGCCAGGCTGGAACTTAGATTGTGAATTATTTTCAAGTTTCCCAATATTTAGAAGAAAATTTACCAACAGGCAGAAAGATTACAAGCTCTTTCTTGGGCTTCCTACTGTTATACAGGGTATTTAATTTGAAGTTTTAAGTGTTTATAAAACGTCTCTAAAGGTCATGAACAAGAAAGCTGAAAACTTATAATTTTAATCTTGTATTTAAGCTTTAGTCTCTAGGGTAATAGTTTACTATTTTAAGATCATGAGATACTGCTTTATACTTATAAAACATTGGATTAATTTTTTTTCTACTAAGTAAATTTAAGATTTGTTTAGTTGTTTTGTTTTACTTAAATGAAATCACAAGTTTACAAAAACTTTTTTGAGCACTTACTATGTGTCAGCTACTATTCCAGGACCTGGGATGTCAAAATGAGTCAGACACAATTATTGTTATAAGCTCATTCTAGCAAAGGGGAGACAGGCAGGTTAACAGATAACATGACATGTTAGCTCTCAGACAGAGGTATAAGTCAAGTACGTTGTGAACACAGATTGTGGAGTAGTTCATCTTGGGGCTGGGAGCAGAGTGGGTAAGTAAAAAAGCTAGAGAGAAAGTGATATTTAAGCTGGACTTTGAGGGACCAAAAAAAAAATGTGCCAGTTGGAAGGAGTGGTGAGCACCAGATTTCCAGGCAGAAGGAGTAGCATGAACAAAGGCATAAAGATACGGGAGTGTGGGGTTTATCATTAAAGAGCCCGTGTTGTAGGTGGCCTTGTGAAGGAAACTGAACTTGACTTCCCTGGTCTACAAGGAGCCGTCATAGAGAACTCACGTTAGAGGAGTCCTGCAGTGGTTCAGTGACAGCTAATGAACACCAGGGGTAGAGCAGTGGGGGGTTGACTGGGGAGAGAGGGGATAGATGAACAAAATTCTGGAGACTGGAATCAGCAGAACTTAGTGGCTGGCTGTATGTGGTTATGAGAAAGACAGAGAGTGCTGCCTTGGCAGCTGGGCAGATTCTTATACCACCCACCGAAATAAAGAATGGAGAGTCCATTTCTAACTAAATTTAGATTGAGGCGGGTTGAATTTTGATATCAAAATAGAGATTTTCAGAAATTAGCTAGTATTATGAGTCTAGTTATAGATAGTATTTGAAGCTATGGGATTAAGCAAAGTTGAGGAAAAAGAGAATGAACTGAAGACAGAGTGCAGAAACTTATCATTTAAGTAATTGGGAGAAAAGAGGACCAGTGAGAGAGACAGAAGTCCACTATCTTGGCGTTCTCCATAAATATACTGTGCATATCCTCTAAAGGAGACTGCTGCTATCTCAAATAATATTTTCTCTCATCTGCTAGGAAAATGTGAGAGCTTTGACCAGAGGAGTCCAGGCTGTGATGGGCTACAAGCCTGGGAGTGGGCTGGTGGCTGCAGCTGCTGTTAGCTCTGAGAGCGGGGCTGGGAAGCCCTGGAAAAAACATGGCAACAGAAATAAAAAAGAGAAAAGCCGTAGACTCTACAAGCACCTGGACACGTGAACCTGGGCTGCAACAGAAATGGCCCCTGCGTTGTACGCCTGGGAAAGAACAGAAGCTGCTCCTTGCCTGTGGACCCGGGCAGTCAGTGTCTAAGACTGAGGGGCTCCTCGGAGCACCAGCTCGCACTCATGTCATCTTGGAGCCCCAGAAACCTGTAGAAGGCTGCGTTTAAGATGAGGGAACAAATGATGCACATTTGTTTGTGTAGACATACACAAATGCATGCTAATTTATAAGTTGGGAATTTTTTTGAAAAGATTAAATTGCCGCTAACATGTTTTATTGGTTTATGTGGATACACTGCCATTTGGACAGTCCACGTTCATTAAACAGTTTTAATTTGCTAAAACGACTGGGATTTTAGATGGATTCTTTTGAATGCATTTAGATTAGGGATTCTTAGCCTCACACACATATCCAAACACCCCTGATAGGGCGGAAGGCATATCAGATCTTGGAATAGGGGGCTGGCATATGTAATTTTTAAAAACCCCTGGAAAGCATGACCTTCTATTGAAAATCACCATCAATATGAACCACTACTATACAGGGAAGCATGTGTTTGTCTATAGCTAACGCACAGGGAGTGAGAAAGCAGGCAGTCGCAATAAAATCAGTCTTTATGTTAGGCGTAGGGCTCCCTGATGTCCTTAGTACTTACAACCATCAGGAGTCAGAAGGGCAGTTTACCTTTTACAGGCACTTTCAGTCTCAGACATTGATCATACACTGAGTACACTGGGGCTGTTTCAACCTCTCACTTCAATCTCCCTTTTTCTCTGAGACTCGTTATTCCCTTAACTCAGATCATTACCTTGTTTTGTGTCAGATGTTTTTGGAAATCTACTGGAAGTTATGGACCTTCTGTAGAAAAATGCACATACACAATTCCGTGAAATAGATCAGAAGGTTTACAGACCCACCCCAAGTTCAGGTGAACTATGAATTCACATGTAAGAAGCTTTCAAGTCACCATATGTATTTAAGATACATTTGAAAATGTGCTGTATCTGGGAGATAAAAAAATTACATTTGTGCATTAATAAATACTTATTTACCACCTACCATGTGGCAAAGAAGGGCAGTGCAGAAAATAACAGTGGCAGGAGGGCGCTGAAGCAGGAAGGAGCACTGCGGGACGGACGTCAGCAAGTGCCAGATCCCACGGGGCCTTAGAGCCTGGGTGGGGATTCTGGATGTCTTCTCAAAAGCAGTGGGTAAGCCAAGGAAGGATTCATACAGGAGAGGAATAAGGTGTATTCCAATTCTTCATTTAAATATCAGGTGAACAGTTATTCCAGATCAAGACTGAGGTGGACCTAGAGGCAAAGCTGAAGATGTTCTAAAGTTGTGTTCCTCCACCTGTAACAATCTGCTTCCAGCCATTCCTTTTTATCTGAGAGTAGAGGCAGATTAAAGATAGAGGAACAAGCATTGGCACATGAAAGCATTCTTTGTTCCATTGATTGAACAGGTGCAGGCATATGGCAGAAACTCATACTGAATGGACAAAGCATGTACTTACTTAGAATAGGTTTGGCTTTAATAATAGTGTCCTAGCTAAAACAAGACTTTTTAGAAAAAGAGTAGGCATATATGTTTCCATGCTCTTGGTTATTGAGATAATTCATATACCATGAAAATTCACTGCTATTCCATTTTTAGTATAAGTACAGAGTTATGCAACCATCACCACAATCAATTCTACATTATCACCCCAGAAAGAAACCCTGCACCCTTTAGTAATCGGCCCCCGATTGTCTCATCTACCCCAGCCCTAAGCAACCACTCATCTAATTTACATACAGATTTGCCTATTCTACACATTTCATATAAATGGAGTCATATACTAAGTGACCTTTTGTGACTGGCTTTCACTTAGCCTAATGTCTTCAAGGTTTATCCATGTTATAGCATCTATCAGGACTTCATTCTGTTTTGCTGAATAATATTCCATTGAATGGATATACCACACTATCCGTTAATAGACATTTAGGTTTCCACTTTTTTGCCTAAGGAATAATGCTGCTATGAACATTTGTGCTCAAGTTTTTGTGTGGACACAGGTTTTTCATTCTCTAGGATATATATCTAGGAGTGGAATTGCTGGGCCATTGTAATTGCTATATATTTAACCTTTTGAGCAGCTGCCAGACTGTTTTCCAAAGTGGCTGTACCATTTTACATTTTCCCCCCAGTGTATAACAGTTCTAATTTCTCCACATCCTTGCCAACACTTGTTACTCTCTTTTTTTGTTTTGGCCATCCTAGTGGGTAAGAAGAGGTATCTCATCATGGTTTTGATTTGCATTCCCTTGATGAGTATAAATGATGTTGAGGATCTTTTCATGTGCTATTGGCCACTTGTATATCTGTGGAGACGTGTCTACTCAAGTCCTTTGCCCATTTTTAATTGGGTTATTTGTCTTTTTATTATTGATTACAAAAGTTCTTTATACATTCTAGATACAAGCCCGTTACCAGATGTATAATTTGTGAATATTTTCTGCTATTGAACGGGTTGTCTTCATTTTCTTGGTAATGCCTTTTGAAACACATTTTTAATTTTGATGAAGTCCAAATTTATGTTTTTAATTTGGTTACTTGTGCTTTTGGTGTTATATTTAATAAACTATTGCCACATCCAAGATTACTAAGATTTAACACTATATTTTCTTCTAAGAGTATTATAGTTTTAGGTCTTACCTTTAGGTCTCTGGTCCATTGGAGTTAATTTTTGTATATGGTGTGAGGTAGGGAATGGCCCAACTTCATTCCTGCTTGTGGATGGATATCCAGTAGTCCCAACATTTTGTTGAAAAAACTAGTCTTTCCCCATTGAATTGCTTTGGCACCCTTGTCGAAAATGGAACATAAATGTTAGGGCTTATTTCTGGATGTAGACCTTTGATATTTAACATTCATGAACGTGGAACAATTGTGAAGAGTATCTGACTCCATTTTCTAGCAAGTATTACTGGTAAGAGAAGTCTGTGGAAAAATCCCACCCAACCCCACGTCCCTTAGCCTACTCTGAGTTCACCTGCAGCCCCGGTGGGCAGTTCCTGTGCAAACTGACAGCTTTCCACTGCAAGCCCTGTGTTTTCTGCTTTCCTGCACCACAGAAGCTTGCTCAACCTGACCATAGAGCTGTCTCCAAGCGCCAGGTTTTTAACACCCCAAGAGCAACCCCCAATGGATAAGGAACTGGGGCTAGTTAAGTACCCCAGCTTCCCTGTCACTCAGTGCGTACATTCTACATGTTCCTCACTAGCTCCTAGTGGAACTGAGCCCCACTTGCCCACAGCTAAAACCATCTCATTAGCTCACCCTTCATTGCTCTTCTCCCTTCCCTGTCTCATTTTCTTCACTCCCTCACTTCCGCTTCATGGAATTGCCTCCCAAATAAACTAACTGAACCTAAGTCCTTCACTTAGAATCTGAGGAACTCAAACTAGGATACCCTGAAAGGGGAGTTTCTATTTTCACCTTTGCGTCTGCCCCAGAATATGTCTTGTTAAGGATCCCTTACAATTTCTTTTTAAAGTATTCCGACCCTTGTTACAGAGGCTAGTACTTAAGACGTACGAACTACTGTCGTCATCACTTTATTGTTTCCCAGAATTTTATTACAAGGAATATACCACCCTTTTAGAGTATAACCTGTTATACATCTGTCATCTGTTTACTTTTCAGGAAGTTGAGGTTTTTGTCAAGAAGCCAATAGCAACATATGTTTTCTTGGAGGGTAAAGTGGAAAATTTGGCAGCAAGCCAGAAATCCATTGGGTTGTTGGAAAAGTCATGATGCATTTTTGCAACAAAATACAAAAAAAAATACGTCATGACTTTTCCGACAACCCAATACTTGGTGCCACTTTTTTTTCCATAGCTTTTTCCCTTCAGTTATTGTGAAGTGAGGAAATTCAAAATTTCACACTTAATAATTTCCACTATTTGTCATCTGTTGTGTTCAATTGGTGAATTCCAAATTCACCTTTTCTGTAGTTTTGAAATTTTCCAAAATAAAAAATTGAGAATCATAAGAGAAGACAGTTTAATACCACAAGGGCTCAGAGCCATTCAGAAGAACAGACAGAATTGTATTGGGAGACCTGGAACAGTTACCCCAATTAACAAAAACATAGCTTCTGTCTTTACTCTGCCTTGGCTGGCTTTTGGTAAGTGGCGTTATCGGGCTCCCATATTGGCATGTAGGAACTTGGCAGGCAGGACGCTTGTTTATTTCTGAGTTGGACACTGTAGTGAGAACTTATATTTGTCTCCAATAATTATTTCAGTGCAAATATTCAAGTACTGCATTCTATTTAGTTGGCTTTTTAAAAAGTGAGTTGTCCTTAAGATTGAACACGGCACCTTGAGCTGAGTGGCTGCCAGCTGCCGACGGGCGGCCGGATGGCGACTGGACTTGGAGCTGAGCTAGCTGCACCCTCCACAGCTAAGATTGAAGGAAAACAACTTGGCTGTTCCCCTTCCCCAATCCCCCAATAAAAAAACAAAAAACAAATAAAAAGTGAGTTGCCTTGCTATTAGACAGTATTCATTGAGATTTACCTCTTTTAAAAATGCAGGGCTTTCCTTGAAGTAACATTTCAACATCTGTCAGTTCCATTAGCCTTGCCTGGCTTCTGAGCATCGTGAAGTGACTTTCAGCAATCAGATGTCATTAATGAGGAACTTGAGGAGAAAAAAGTAAAGAAAGCTTCACAAGATCATATAGTGTGTTGATGACAGATATTTAAATAGAACCCACGACCCCAACAGTCCTACCACCTGCTTCAATCATGACATTCCCAACATGTCCACAAATGGGATTGATTAAAATTTGGAAATGCCATTATTTCAAAAGGCATTCTCTTAGAATTGATTTTATACATTTATAGCAGGTAAATCAAACTGATGTTTTTGTTTTTAATGTTACTGTTTGTAGTAGCCATGAGCCCTTCCTCCAAATAATGCATTTTACAAGAACATTGGCAGGAGGCAACATGTCCTCAGAAGAGAAAGCGGTTGAGCTGCTGGCCTCTCCCCCCAAGTGGCTGGGATTTATGGCCATAACTGGCTGCCCACTCCTGCAGGACTGCCCAGGCTGCTGCAGCCCTTCCTTCTTGAGAACAATGGCTGTGGGTGCCGTGTCTCTGCCAATAGGAAATGCCTATGAGCCGTGAAGGGAGGACATGTGTTATGATCCTCTTGTTAGTTTTTCTTTTCAGCAAACTCAGGACCTTGGCCAAAAAACATTAGCTTCTGGGCGGGGCAGCTGCCAGGGCTGGCGGAGTGGGGTCGGGGGAGGCCTGGTAAAGGAACTGATTCACTTCCTGAGGACTGATCCTGTGAAGAGCTGAGCCCTGTGGAAGGTACTGGGAGAATTTGGGAGAGGTCCCAGTGGCAGGGAGGGAGTTGATTGGAATACATGACCCTCAGTGTTCCCTACAAGGTGAAGTCCCGATTTCCTCGTGACGGCTGCAGACTGCCTCTCTCACCTCATCTACCCTCACTGCAGTACCTCCACTACGTATTTGCCAGTGTCCATAGGCCATGCCCTTCCCACCTCCAGAAGGGCCTTGCAGGACTGGTTCCATGGCTTCGTTGCCAAAAGCAAACCCATTCTCCAAAGGCCAGATCATGCGTTTCTTGAAAGCTTTCCCCAGCACACCCAGACACACAATGTTAGGCGTTGCCAAAGCATTGTAAACAGGCTCCTACTACAGTACATGTCACATTTTTATGAGCTGCTTAAAAATCAACTTATTTACTCCATAAATACTTTTTTATTATGTGTCAGGCACTGAGCTAGGAGCTGGGGGTACAGGTATGAGCTAAACAACCCTGGCTGCAAGACGCTCACAGCCCGGTAGAAAAACAACGAACACTGTGCTCAGATAGATGCCCTAATGGTGGATGAGTGCAGGCACAAGGGAGGTGCGCATTCCAGGACCAGAACACCCAGTCAGCCTGTGGAGGGAGACTGCAGGTGAAGCAGCTTTGGGAGGGAAAGATCACAAGCTTGGGTTTTAGATGTGTTCAGGCATGCGATAGAGGTTGAGAAGACAGCTGCACATGTGAGTCTGAGGTTTGAGAGGGTTCTGACCTGGAGACATTCAGGAGGCACAGGCACAGGGATGCTATTTAAAGACAGAAGATCAGACACTTTGAACTTTTTTTTTTTTTTGATGGCTCTAAGGCTCTTCTTAGGAAAGACAATAACAACAATAATATCCACTGTTGACATGTGCCAGATGCTTTATCTGCAAGGTTTCTAATAATCACAGTAACTCAAAGGTAGGTACGATTATCCTCAGTTTATAGGTAAGAATACCCAATTGCAGAGAGGATCAGGGCTTTGCCCCAAGTCACAGCTGCCAGGAGGCAGAGTGCGAATTCCAGTCCAAGATTTGCAGGCTCCAAAGCCGACATTCTTCCCATTGCATCTTTCTCTGAGCCAACATGTCCAGTGACTGGGAACAGCTCCCCTCAAATTCTCCACCCCCACAAAGGGCCATCTCCATAACCCAGTGCTTCTCATAAGAATCTCCCAGGAAGCTTGTGAAAATGCAGTATAGTAGGCTAAATCATGGCCCCCAAAGATATCAGTGGAACCTAATCTGTGGAACCTGTAACAATTACCTTATATGGAAAAAGGGTCTTCGTAGATGTTATTAAGCTAAGGATCTCAAAACGGAGATTATCATGGGTTATCTGAAAAGGACATACATGTGATCACCTGTGTCTTTATAGAGAGGCTGAAGGAGATTTAACACAGAGAAGAGAATGTGACCATGAAGGCAAGAGGCAGAGATTGATCAGAGTGATGCAGCCACAAGACAAGCAATGCTGGCAGCCACCAGAAGCCGAAGGAGGCAAGACAGGAAGTAGGTTCTCCCTCAGGGCTCCCAGGAAGAGGCAGCCCTGCCAACACCTGGATTTTGGTCCAGTGAAACTGATTTCGGACTTCTGGCCTCCAGAACTGTGAGGGAATAAAGCCACTAAATTTGGAGTCATCTGCTACAGCAGTCACAGGAAATGAATCCATGCAGATTCCAAGGACACATGCCCACAGATTGGATTTAGCAGGTCAGCTTTCTGACAGACAGCCAGAGTGATCCTGATACCAATGATGTATGGACTGCATGGCCCCAACTGAACCTCAAAGGACTTAAACCCTTCATCGAGGGGTTTTTAGTCTGGGGTCTCTTCCTCCATGGAATCCATAGTTGAATTTCAGGGTTTCCATAAATTCCTTAAGAGCGTATGAAAACTGTGTAGATGTGTGCACATGTTCATATTTTTCAAGGATGAAGTTTTCTTCAGATTCTCAAAGAGGTTGTAGAAAAGGTAGAAAACTACCTACTATTCTAATAAAAACTGTTGTGGTATATAAACCTGGTCCAGGGTGGGTGAGGAGGATTGAAGCAATTTTTAAATTAGACCCAGCCCCCAAGGGCTTATGCTAAGCCGGAGAAAGAGGGAAACCATAATACAGAATGAATCAAATTAAATAGTGGTAACTTCAGGTCGAAACAAGACTAAGAGCATAAGGTAGCCCTGCCTTAGGACCCGGTGAGAGGGTGACACAAGACTGGGTGAGGTGTGTCCTCACTTTAGCGAGATAGGGGGATAGATTATCTTTGGGGAGCAGTAAGTGGGCAATGTCACCAGAAGAACCCAGGATCTAGGCACTCACAGGTCAGTATCCATGGGAGACCAGACTAGGTATTTAATGTGTATAGCCTATGAGTAACTTGGGTTATATATTTTTTCCTTTTAATTTAACTCTTTAGTGTTGCCTTAGTTGGCATTCATTTTATATCATTTCATCTTAATCATTTTATTATTTTAATTTTTTCCCCTTTTCTTTAATGACATTTTAATTTTACCTTCGTTTGCTCAATTGCTTGTTTAATGTCTGTCTCCTCTACTGGACTGTAAGCTCCATGAAGGTGGGGGCCTTGTCTGTTTTTCTCAACAATGTATCCCCAGCTCTTAGCACAATGCCTGACATAAAGTGTTTCATTTCTCCTGTGAGTGGTCATAACTTTTAAAAATAAATGAGCCAATAAAAAAGAAATAGCAGAGCTCCTTTGGAAAACAGCCTGGCAATTCCTCAAAACTTTAAACTCAGAGTTACCACAGGACTCAGCAATTCCACTCCTAGGTGAGAACTGAAAACCTATGTCCACACAAAAATGTGTACACCCATGTTCACAGCAGCTTATCCATAATAACCAAAAAGTGAAAATAACCTAAATGTCCACCAACTGGTGAATGGATAAATAAAATGTGGTACATCCACAAAATGGATTTTATTATTCAGCCAAAAAAAGGAATGAAGTGTTGATACATGCTATAACATGGTTGAACCTTTAAAAATTATGCTAAGTGAAAAAAAATTATGCTAAGTGAAAGAAGTCGGTCACAAAAATGTCATCTATTGGATGATTCCATTTATATGTAATGCCCAGCATAGTAAATCCATAAACACAGAGGTAGATTTGTGTTTGCCCAGGACTGGGAATGTTGAGGAGGAATGGACAGTAACTGCTTACCGGTACTGGGTTTTTTGGCAGGTGACCAAAATGTTCTAAAATTAGATAATAATAATGGTTGCACTACTCTGGATATACTAAAAACCACTGAATTGTATACTTTAAAAGGGTCGATTTTATGGTATATGAATGAGATCTCAATAAAGCTATTTTTTAATGAAAAAATGAAACGATAGTCATGTTCTTTAATAAAAAAATATGAAGATCAACAAGGAAATTAAAAAATTATAATAGTTTGTTTTCAAGAAAAGCAGCCCTGTGTACCTGAATTGTGTCGCAGAGTGCCTGGATGGAAAGGGACAGATTGCAAAAATCACCGGGCTCCTTGTCTGCTGGGGTCCCTGTCTTGGATGGCATCCAGAACCCGGCTTGGGCGACTGAATGGGGCCGAGGGTGCAGGTCCAGCTTCAGAAAAGAATGAGAGAAGATGTAAGGGGATTGTTTACTAGCGCATTTGTCTCATCCTTCCTGGCCTCCTAACACACCTTTGTATTGTAGCCTTTTAACCATCAGGACCAAGCTCCACTCACCTCGGGATCCCCGGCACCCAAGCCCTTCGCCAGACGCAAAGTACGTATTGTTTGGCTCAAAAAATGTGGTGGATTGAGGAGGGGACAAAGTCCCTTAAAGTGACCCGACAGGTCACTGTATTCCTCTCCGGCCGCCGGGTCTGGGGGGTGGGTGACAACGAAGTGGATCAGCTGGGGCAGCGCCTCTGCAGCTGTCAAGGGGGCGGGGGCCGCGGCCGGGGCCGGGGCCGCAGCCTTTGTGCCCAGGCAGCTCGCCGCTCCCGCCGCTGGGGGGCGGCCTCCAGCCCGCAGACCCCCGACAATAGCGCGAGGGGAGGGGAGCTGCGCGGTCCCGGAAACTTTAACCTCGAGTCTTGGCCGCTGCTGCCGGCGCCCCAGGACCGCAGAGCTGGGCGCGCCCACTTCCCGCCCGCGGTCCGGACGCTCCGCGGGGGCCGCGGCAACAGAGCCGAACCCAGAGAAGGGGGCGCGGGGCGGTAGCGCCCACAGCTTCCGCGGCCCGGGGAAGCTGCGCGCGGGTCCCTGGCCACGCGGGCGGCCCCGGCACTAGTCGGCGAAGGCGAGTCTGCCATGGGGGAGGCGCCCACCCCCGATCCATCGCCCGCACTCTGGGACTGGGGCTACCTGGACCGCTGCTTCGCCCGCCACCGCGTCTGCATCTCCTTCGGCCTGTGGATCTGCGCCTCCTCCTGCTGGATCGCCGCCCACGCGCTGTAATGGGGACCGGGACCTGGTGGCGCCGGGTGGGGGCGGTCGGCCGCGGGGGGAATGGGAGCTCACTCCCTCGCCAGCTAACTCCCGGCTGGAAACCTAGAGGGACGGGGGCAGGAAGGGACGATGCAGAAGGCAGCACAGTTCTAGGAGCGCAACTAACGTTTTGCTGTAGACTGAGGTCGATACTTTCCCCCAGATTCCACGCCCAGGGAGGCTGGGCTGTGGGCCAGCAGGAGGAGGCTGGGTGGTACAGTGGACAGGGCCCTGGGCTGGAAGCTGCCAGTCCCGGCTTCTGTTTCAGCCTTCTCCCATCAGCTGGCGGTGTGAGCTGGGTAAGCGATATATAACCTCGGCCTCACTTTCCTCAGGTAAATGGGATAATAACTCACAAGACGGAAGGGAGGATTAAATGAGTTAGTACGGTAAAGCGCTAAGTAAGTGCTCATTAAACATCATTGTTGTTGCTGTAGCTTGTCACCAACCCTTGGCAGAGGGCAAGGACCTTGGACAAGCCTCTCAATGTTTCTGGGCTCATTTTCCCAAGGCCCTCTTAGCTGGGAAATGGGGAAGGGAAGATCTGACTCTGGCCACAGAAGTTACCCTGGGTGTCTTTCTGGCACCTGAGCGGTTTGGTCAGCTGATCACCATCATCTGGATTCTAAGGGTGAAGTCTGGCTAAAGATGGCCCCCCAGGGCTTCAGCCACTCTTTCCCAAGCTTGGAAGGATGCTGCCACCAAAGTATTCCCTGGCAGAGAAGAAAGGAACAGCAACCCCCAAGGAAGGCTGGCACCAGCTCACCTTAGGCACTTGATGGATATTCCCCTGAGGCGTGTGATAGTGTTTCAGCGATTCTACAGCCTCAGTACCCAGTCGCTGGAATAAGAATAGAGACACTTATAACATTTAATGTGGGCCTAGTGTGGCATTCATTAACTCATTTAGTCCATGCCACAACTCCAGGAGGCAGGGGCTGTGATTACCCTATTTAGATCAGGAAACCAAGGTTCTGAGAGGTTAACTAACTTGCCAGAGTGAATGGAACCCAAACCCAAGATCCTATCAGAAAGGGGCAGGTTTGTGAGGATTAAACTAGCCAGATCCGAGGTTGGAAAATGAGGCCCTCTACATGCCATAGCTCATGTGTTCGTCACAGCTACCCTCTGAGGTCTGCATTAGTAGACAGTTTACTGACCTGGACACCAAGGTTTGGAGAGGATAAGGTAACTCTCAAGAATGCCCAGCCAGTTAGTCTGGGAGCAGAGCGTCTGCTTTCTCACCCTGCCTTAGGTGTGGACACACCGTTTGTTTTCAGGACTTCACCATCCCTGAATCTCATTTGTCTTTGGGGTTTGTATCTCCTCCAAGCTGTGTGTGTGGGCTGGGTTAGGGCCAGCCCGACATCCCTGACCCCTGAGAGATGGGTAATGGCTCAGAGCAACAGGATACAGAGCGAAGCTTCTACACGTGAAGTCAGGAGGTCCACCATTAACTCCTCTTTCACCATAAGCCTCAGCTTTCTCCACTTTCAAATGGAACAGTTGAGATAAATTAGTTCTAATCCGGGTCCAACTCAGCGAGTCCCTCATTTAGATTCTTCACTCCTAGGCTTTGAATTGGTTTCAGGAGCCTAGGGCCCAAATTAAAGGTTGATGTTTCTACTCTGAGCTTCAGGCCTCCTCTGGTTGGTCAGGGGATGTTTAGGAACCCAACAGCCTTCCATCCTCATCCATGATTCCCAAGGGCTGATGCTCCGAACCAGCGCAATGGTCCTAACGATGTAGAGCGAGTACTACCCTGTGGTTAAAGTAAATGAAACCACAGCTGCAATTGTATCTTGGTTTCTCCATAGAAATATAGCAGGGAAACATCTAGAACTAAGTGTTTCCGAGACCATTTCTGCCTTTCTGAGTTTGTTCCTGGGTGTATTGAGAATGGGGAGGGCAATAAGGGCTAGAAGCCAGCAAGCCATGGTGGGCGAGGGGGGTTGGCGCTAGCGCTAGGGGAAGTCAGCCCAAAGTTCCATGGCATCTTCCAGGAGTTTTGCTCTCCCTGTGTGTAAAGAACGTGTACCCAAAATGAAATCAACTTTGATGTGGGCCCGTAAAAGCCTGGCCACTCCATTACATGGGTGGATTAGAAAGGTTTCACTTTAATATCAAAGAAAAAATTTGCCTTTTTAAATTTAGGCAATTCTGCGCTACAGTAAACTGCACTGATTGGGTTACTTTTATAACCCTCCTGTTTCCTTTCATAAAATAAAACCTGACAGCTAGTTAGCACTAAAAGGTGGTCATGAACTTGAGTGGGCCAGATTTGTAAGAGGAAAGAAATTCCTCTTCATTAGAGAAGCTGGTCTGTTTCCTGCCCCAGGCCGGGAGCCTTTTTTTTTTTTTTTTTTTAGCCTTTCTTTTCCTGTGTGTAAACTAAGTTCAGAAATACCTTCTGAATACCTGGGGGAGAAGGTGCTTCGTAAGGACACACAGTCACAATTGCCCTTTTCAGACACCTGCTTTGGGAGCCCAAACTCACAGCTCCCGTGTTCTGTCCACACCTGTTTCTGTCCCCGCAGACTTCTCTATCTGCGATGTGCAAAGAAATCTGGACAGGACCAGTCGGCGCTGTGTGCTGCGTGCTGCCTCCTGACCAGCCTGTGTGACACAGTTGGGGCGATACTGGCCAAACAGCTCACCATCCAGGTGCGTCAGGCCCATAGGTGACTATATCTTCTGTCTTAGTCCCTTACCGTGCGAGGCACAGTTCGCCTCAGGGCCTGGGCCCTTGCTGGTCTTTCTGCCCCACTCCAGTGTTCTTGCCCCAACAGCCACATGGCTCACTGCTTACCTCCTTCAACTCTGCTCAGAAGCCACCTTCTCATTAAGGCCTTCCTTGACCACCTGTTTACCTCCACCATAGGCATTCCAGACTTCATCCTGCTCTATTTTTTCCATAGCTTACCCTCTAGCACACCTTCTACTTTATTTACTTAGTATGTGTTTCATGCTTATTGAATTTAATCCCTTCTAGAATGACAGTTCCACACAGACAAGAATATATATATATATATATATATATATATATATATATATATATTTACCATGTCCCCATCACTTAAAATAGCAGCTGCACATATTAGATGCTCAATAAATAGTGATTGTTGGTGTTAATTGTTTTTAGAGCCTGGGGCCCAGCCCCAGCTCGTGCAGCAGTATCTGAATCCTTTCCCAGGTGGTGATGAGAGCTTTCGAGTAAGAAACAGTTTTAAGTTTTCCCAAAGTCTATCTAGGCCCTCCAACAAACCTGTGTAGGAGTGGCCTACCCCAAAACATGTGTCCCAAGGAAAACCTGTAGGCTCCATTGAAGGGTCACTTCATAGGGGCTGGTCCTGGCCTTGTGTCCACCCAGGCAGACATGAAAGAGGGCAGCCTAGTGGTCAGGACACAGACTAGGAGAGTTGTAGACCCTGCTTTGAACAGAGTTGCCTCAGAAAGAGACTGCCTTTCATTTTGGGTGCTCATTCTCATTATCTGATGGAATATAATGAGTCCAATAGTAATAGTTGACATTTATTAAGTGCTTACCGTATTTCCCCATGTGTAAGACACACCCTTTTTTGAAAAATGTGAGGTCTAAAAACTGGGTGCGTCTTGTACAGTGGTTGTAGATTTTTTTTACTTGCATTTCCCACTTTTGTCGCGCTTGTTTTTTTTTTGCACTCATACAACCACTGTATAAGACGCACCCAGGTTTTAGACCCCACATTTTTGGAATAAGGGTGTGTCTTATACATGGGGAAATACGGTAACTACCTACTTGACACTAAGGACTTTTCATGCATTATCTCATCTAATCCCCAAGTCATCTTGTGACATGGGTGCTCTCATTATCCCCATTTTACACATGTGGAAATTGAGGCATAGAGAGATTAAATAACTTCTCTAAGGTTAAACTCTACTAAGTAGAATCCTAGTGCTAGAATTCAAACCCCAGGACACATGCTCTTAACACTAATCATACTACCCTAGTAGCTAGTGCATGTATATGTGGGTGCATTTTACTTTCCTCCAGGTGCTGGTCTAAGCACTCTCCATATATTGGCTCATGTAAGCTGCTTATTGGTAAGGGAGACACTGTTATTATCTCTGTTTTACAGATGAGGAAACTGAGGCCCAGAGAAGGTCAGTGGCTGGGCCAAAGTTATAGAGCAGAGATTACACCATGCAGTGGAGAAAGTGTGGAATAGGAAGTGGAGGGCTGGGTGCCCATCCTGTCTCCACCAATGGGCAGCTTCGTTCCTCAAGATTAGTCATTTAAGCACCCCATCTCCTCATCAGTCAAATGGAGGTGATCTCAACCTTTCCTGGGCTTGGGAGGCATCCCTGAAAGCACTATATCAGTGGAACACATGTGGCAGAGGAGATCCGGGATGACAGGTGCTGTAGTTGCTGAAAAAGGTTTGAACACTGACACTATCTCCATTTGCTCCCAGGTTTTCACTGGTGCCTACCTAGCAGCTGTTGACTTGCTGAACTTTGTGTCCATTCTCTTCCCAGTCTGTGGCTCCAAATTCAAGGGTGAGTGTGTGGCCATCTGTTCCTGTCTTCATTCATCCGCTCATTCATTAGCATGCTGAGTGCCCACTCCTTGTCCCGTCCGAGCTGGGGGCCTGCCAGGCACAGAGGAATGAACAAACTCCCTGACCTCAGCCAGAGGAGGGAGACAGGACCCTAAACAATCCTTAGAGCTACTAATGAGGAGGTGCGTGCACACCGTGGGCGACCAGAAGGACAGAAGGGGCTGCAGGTGTCAGGGAAGGCTGTGACATTGGAATTGGGACCGCAGGTTAGGGGATTCCAGGTGAAAAAAGAACAGCGTGGGCAAAGGCCAAGGAGAGGGATGGTGCCTGGCTCTGTGACATGATCCCAGTGGGCAAGTCTGGGGTGGCCAAACGAAGCGTCACAGCTTCCTGAAATGGATACCAAGAATGGGCATTGGCCACCTCAGGCAGAGCGGAAGCTGGAAATGACTGAGATGGGATGAGTATTTGAGTGTGTAGGACTGGAGCTTTCTTAAGGGGCAGGAATATGCTTGGACCCTTGTCCAAAAAGAAAATGCCTGCATTGGTGGGGCAATTAATAAAAGATGCCCTCAGCTGCTCAATGCTATCCAGAGGAGAAATGTTCTTCTTAGGGATTGTTCAGAGGAGTATCTGCCTTCTGTTTCAAGGAGACTTTCAAAGATGGTGCTTCTTGCCTCGTTCACGGTTTCAGTGCCCTGGCGCAAACATGTTCACTCACTGATGCAGTCACCATGTTTGTGCCAGTTCTGTTCTGTGCCAGGCTTTGAGGAGATTGTAGAAACTGCCAGGGCACAGTGCCCGCCCTCAGGGGCTTCCAGCCTAGGAGAGGCGATGCTGTGTGCACATGGGTACTTATGATAAGGGGTAATGGCTCCCTGCCTTGAAACATAAAATGCTACAAGAGGGCCGAGGAAGGAGAAGAACACCCGTCATGGCGGAAGTGTGGGTGGCACAACTACAGGGCCTAGACAGGTGGGGAGAATCTGGTCTGTAGAACAACATGGGGACCTGGTCTGGCACTGGGGCTGGGTCAACACCAGTTCTTCCCATCAGCTACCTCTCAAGTTCCTCCAGATCCCAGGAGCCATATAGGAAGGACTTTGGTATGTGTTCCAGGTCAGGGCTCCCAGGACAGGAAGAGGAGGCAGCGGCTCAGGGCCAGTGTATTCGCCCTGGCCCTGCCCCTGAGCCTGGGCCCGGGCTGGGCTCTCTGGGCTGCTGTCCCGAAGGCTTCAGGCCCCATCCAAGGGCCACAGCGGAAGCTGCTGGGAATCGTGCTGCAGGTGAGACTGAGCTGGCTGAGGGTTGGGGATACAACCTGGGGGAGTGCAGGTCCCTTCCCTCCTCACAGCCCCAACAAATGCCCCAGGTGTGTGTGGATGGGCGGGGCAGGGTTAGGCCTTGTCTTTGTTGGGAAGAACCTACTAGAAGCAGAAAAGGACTGGTCTGGGATGCATGGTGGTCTCCTTGGGGGTGCTGAGTATATCACCTGTTCCCACAGGACAATACTGAAATCCTCGGCTACCTGCTGGGTGGCATTGCAGCCTTCGGTTCCTGGGCTTCCCGGATCCCCCCACTCTCCAGAATCGTGAGGCTGGGGTTAGGGCTGGACTGTGGGTCACCGTGGCAGGTCTTAGCCCATCCCTGGGAGCATTATCGAAGCTCCAGGGTGGAGGGGTGGTGTCACCCCATTCCAGGGGTTGGGGAGTAAGTGGGGGCGGGGAGGGCAGAGGGGGGAGGGGGGTGCATGGGCACCTGGCCCAGGGGAAGTGCTGAGGCCTCTTACTGTAGAGTCCACTGCTTTCTCTCCGTTTCTTGTAACAAATGAAAAGTAAGCTCTCAGGAAAAAGCCACTGGGGTTGGACCAAAACGTATCCCATTAGTAAATGAGAAGGTTTTAGAGGACAGAATCATGTAGCTGCTGGGGTTCTGTGTATTCAGGAGCATCTTACTGGGAGATACTTTCCAGACATCTGGGGTGAGGGAAACCCTGCGTTGGCCAGTCCCTGGTGGGGGTGGGGGTGGGGTACAGGGCTACAGACATGACTGGAGATGCTGTGCTTGCCCTTGGGAAGCTCGCAGTCTCATAGAAGACACAGAAATACAAAGCAAGATATTTTAATGCTCTAAGAAAAGTAGAATCAAATATTTGGGGTTTCAGAGGAGGGAGAGAAGGCTCCTACACTATTCAAATGAGTGAGGGTTTAAAACTGTTCATGCTGCCTGGCTGGTGGATGCTGGGGAGGCTTCAGGTTGGCTCCAAAGGGAAGGTGGGATTTCAGGAGGCAGAGATAAGGGAAAGAAGAGAGTGCACAGGAAAAGCCACCGAGGCAGGAAAATGCCTATAGAAGAGTAAGCTACTGTGGATGTGTGAAAACTGCTCTTATAAGAGGGCCTCGCTGAAGTGATAGTGGCTGGATATAACACCAGAAATGTAATGGGCCTATCATTGGGTCCAAAAAAAGAAAATCACTTGCCCAAGAGCATCGTTTGTTTAATAGCAGTTCCAGAGAGCAGGTTTCAGGGAGGCCAGGAGCTCAGTTGATTATTTGTAGGAAGCTGCAGCCTATTCTGTTATGGCCAGAAACCTCATGGGACATGGGGTCTCATCAACAAAGGTGCTATCTCCAAATCAAGGAGGGGAGAGTAGGGAGCACTGCTCTCCATTCACTGACCCCTGGGGCAGGTCCCCAGGGTGGCGTGGGGCTGGGAAACTGGGCACATGAAGGCCTTTGAAGGAACTGGTGCAGTGCCCTCACCACCTGTGTTAGTTTCTAGTGCTGCCGTAACAAAGTACCACAAACACTGCACAACAGAAATGTATTGTCTCTAGGTCCTGGAGGCCAGCAGTCTAATACTATCAAGGTGTCAGCAGGGCCACACTCCCTCTGAAGGTGCTAGGGAAGGGTCTGTGCCGGGCCTCTCTCCAAGCTTCTGGCAGGTAGCAGCATAGCTCCAGTGTTCACATGGCATTCTCCCTGTGTGTGCATTTTCACTTGACCGTCTCTCTGTATGTGTCTCTGTCCAACTTCCCCCTTTTTATAAGGACACAGTCATATGAAGTAGGGCCCTCCCTAATGACCTCACCTTAACTTTATCATCTGCAAAGACCCTATTTCCAAATAAGGTCACATTCACAGGCTCTGGGGATGGGACTTGAACATCTTTAGGGAGGTGAGGGAGGTGGGTCACAATTCAACCCATAGCACCAGCCCACCTAAAACAGCCCCGCCAGCCCCACCGCTGTGCCCCTCACTCAGCTTCATTTTCTTTACAGCAGTTGTCACAACCTGAAATTAGCTCCTTCAGTTATTTACCAAGTTGTTATCTTGGCAACAAGATAGAGGAATGTCAACACTGTGAGAGCAGTGGCCTTGTCCGTTTTATTCCCTGCTGTATTACAGGTGCTAGGGGCCTGCCCATGGTAGGTGCCAGCAAATGCTTGTTAATGAGTGACTTAATCTGGCCTGGAAAAGAGGAAGCTCATGGATGCAGGAATCAGAAGGGCTGTCTTGGGGCAGAAAGAGCAGCCTTGTTCTCTGCAGTATTGAAGGAGAGAACCAAGACCAAGACTGGGAAGAGGTTATGGGGCAGAGGCATTTCTCATCCATAGGTTAGACACTTTGCGCAGTGCCTGGCATGTTGAAAGCAATCAGTATTGTTATTCCTGCCTTAGGAGGTAGTGGGCTTCCCAGCACTAAAGGCATTCAAGCCTGATGGCCATGTGACAGGAAGATATATGATTGCATTGGGATTCAACTGGGTCATCTCTGAGGGGCTGCCAGGCCTGAATATCTCTGGTCCCATGAAGAAGAGCCCAGAGCCCAGGTTCCCTTATTAGGGAGAAACCCAGCAGGGTTTGGGGTGTTCTGGGAAGCCTAGCCAACATGGCCTTGGACCCTGGATATCCCACAAGCTGCTTCTAATTTACCCCTGGTGGGGGTGCTGAGGAGTGAGCAGAATGGCTGAGTGGTTTTAGTGGGAAGAATTTCCATTCTTCTAAGAGCACGTCCTTGAATGGACAATGAAATACATACTGATCCCCAGGACATTGAGCTGACAATAGTGGAGTCTTCGCTGCTGCAGGAGCCGGCTGAGGCATCCCAGCTTCCAGCCCCCAGTGTGGACTTGCAGGGCAGCCACCCAGCTGGATGTCCACCCAGCGTTCTGTCCTCGCCTGCTAGACAGGCCCATGTGGGCTGGAGAACTTCCTGCCACATCTCGAGTCACCAAGCCAGTTCCATTCAGTTATTGAGCACCTACTGTATGTCCAGCACCGCAGGCAAATAGAACCCTATAAGCCCTAGAACCGACCCTGAAAAGAGATTGAGTTTTGAAGTCAGTGGGCACCATGAATGGGTTGGCATGTGAGTGAGCGGGGAGCTCCCCCACCCAGCTCAGGCTTATCAGGAACAGTGGCAAGAGGCAGGAGGGCCCAGGTCCTAGCTCAGCGCTGCAAGTCACCTCCCATCTCTGGCTGTCAGTGTCCTCTGTAAAATGGGGGTGGGTAGGCTGGAGGACCCCCTGGGGCTTCTCACCGCAGCTGTGCTGACAGGGGCAAGCTGCTTCCTGAGCTGTGTGAGATGGGAAGGGATGCCGTCTCCACCCTCAGCCTCTGGGGCCTCCCCTCCATCCCGGGTGCTGTCTATATTTAGGGGATGGTGGGCCAAAAACAGGGAGGCCCAGGAACCAGACTAGAAGAAATGCAGAGGGAAATGTAACACTCATGAGGAATCTTTTTGAGAGTTAAAATAAAAATGGGGAAAATTAGCCCAAAACAGCTTTTTCCCTTGATTTTTTTCCATTCCCTAGCCAACGCCTGTATATCTCTAAATATGTCCTTTAATGAGAAAATTAAGTTATAATCTATGTATTAATTTAAATATACTATGTAATTATGTATAATTGGAAATATATAGTATTTGTGTATATATGAGATATATATATATATATATATATATATATATATATATAGTGACTTTATACCTGTAAAGAGTACTTACATATAAATATTGCATGTTTCCTTTTTTGAAAGCCAGTATTTCTATTACTCATTCTCCAAAAATATCCCCTTGGTTTCAAAATTTCCAGAATGTTACCTCTAATTTTCCTGACTTCCTTGTCTCGCCTTGGCTCTTCATAATTCAGTCTCCCTCACGTTCTCGCAGCTGACAGTCACAAGCCCCTGCCCAGTACTGGGTGCCAGGGGTACCAAGATGGTGAGGACCTTGGCCCTGCTCTTAGGAGCCCTCTGTCTGTTGGGCAGACAGATGTGTAAGGAGCTAAGTCATGATCAGGGTGAAAGGCACTCTGATAGAGGGATGTGTCAGGTGTGATGGGACACAGGAGAGGGAGCTACTTTGCTCCGTCTAGGGTGGAGGTGGGAAGAGATGGTTTCCCAGAGTTGAGTTTAAGCCAGGATTTGAGGGATGAGTAGGAGTTCACCACGCAAAGGCAGCAGCTTGAGCAAAATCCGGACGCCCAGCAGAAGTAGCACCCTTGGGGACTTGTCTTGGGCAGAGAGTTTGCCCTCCAACCTGCTATGCTGCCAGGGCCCTGGGTCTCAGTTCTAAGGGAACTGGGGGTTTGGGGGGTAGCTGTGCTCCTCCCTGCCCCAGCTTTCTCATCTCTCTACGCAGTGCCATGGCAAGACGTTTCCCTTCATCCACCTGTGGACCCGGCTCCTGTTCGCCCTGGCTGGCCTCCTCTACGCCTCAGCCATTGTGGCTCATGACCGGCGGCCTGAGTACCTGCTGCGGGCCACACCTTGGTTCCTGACCTCCCTGGGCCGTGCTGCGCTGGACCTCGCTGTATCCACCCAGGCCCAGCGGGGCTTCACTTCCTGTTTCTCGTCTCCTCCCAGCCCTGCCATGCCCTCCTTCCCTCTTGCTAGATGGAACTCTCTCCCAGGGGCCAGGAAGGTGGTTTGAAACTTGAGGCAGGCAAACATAATTGCAATGTGCAAGTTTTGTTTCCTTTTTTTTTTTTTTAATAAGAATAATTACCTCTTGACTGGCGCTCTGTGAAACAGCAAAAGGGGCTGTGAAAGTTCCCTTGGATCAAAAGAGCCAGGTTTCACTCTCAGTTCTGCTCCCGGCCGGGGTTGGTCCCTGCCCTTTGTGAACCTGTTTTCCTCACCTTTGCCTTGCCTTTCTCACGGGCTGGGAAGGGGCTTTGCAAGCTGACCTGCTGTGCAAGGTGTTCTTTTTGGTACTGGAGCCTAGGTTGGGGAAGCAGAGAGAAAAGTTGACAGGGGCTGCCCTTCATCAATGATTGTGAGCCCCTCCCTGGTTCCACAGGGCGTGTTGCCTGATGTGCTGACACCCTTGTGACCTTGGCATAAGGACCTTAAGGACAAGCTAAGCTTAGACAGTGATGGGTGAAGATGGGACGAGTGTGCGCCCGCGCGTGTGTGTGTGTGTGTGTGTGTGTGTGTGTGTGTGTGTGTGTGGATTTAGCATAAATAGTTCAGGAACTGGTTTTCTCAGGTACTGTGTCAGTTTGCTAGGGCTGCTATAACAAACTGCCACAAACCTGATGGCGTAAACAAGAGAAATTTCTTCTCTCAGCCCTGGAGGCTAGAAGTCCAAAGTCCAGGCAGGGCCACCCTGTCTCCGAAGGCTCTACAGGAGAATCTTTCCTTGGTTCCTGGTGTTCCTCAGCTTATGGATAATTTTAATTTCTGCCTTCATCTTCACATGGCCCTCTTCCCTTTATGTACCTGTGTGTCCTCTCTTCTTATAAGAACTCCTGTCATGGGAGTTAGGGTCCACCCTAATCCACGATGACCTCATCTTCATTAATTCTTGAGTTGCACATTTTGAGGTTCCAACTGGATATGAATTTGGGGGTGGTGGAACACTGTTCAACCCACTACAGGTACTGTACCTGTAAGCCAAGCCCTTCAAGGAAGATGTTTTACAAAATGCTTTTGATTTACAGGTATTTCCTAAGTGTTCATTAAAGGCAGGGTCTTGCTGGGTGCTGGACCCTGGTCGGGGAAGTGTAGAGCGAGTCAGACTTGGCCCTGAGCTCCCCAACCTGGGGAAGGAAATCCAAGCGTGGGACCCTCGGGTGTGGCAGAAGCACTCCTCTTCTTTGGACCTTAATTCCTCTTCCCAGATCATCTTCCTTTCCTGGGTGATGAAAAGCAAGGTGAGGCGGGCCTTGGGATTTTCCTCTGAAGCCAGAGAGAGCCTCGACACCCAAGCCCTTTTGACCTGTGCAGAGAAAGAAGAGGACAACCAGGACGCAAGGAATGAGGCAAGGTCTCACTGTAGGAAACTGCTAGTCCCACAGTGTTTGCGCTTGAAGGACCAGGGGCGGGCCTCACAGGGCCAGGCCTGGGATCCTAGTGCCCCTCTGACCTTGGCCAGCTGGTCACTTTAAAAAAACTACTATTTATGCCCAACAGTAGGGATGCCCTGAACAAATAAGAGCTTACTTTTTCCCAGTTACAGCATATATTTTAAAAGTTTTTTGATCACTTAATGAACTTTAATATATTTTAAGCAATGTAGATGAAATAGTCAAATAGTTCAAATGTCCACTTATGCTATTTAGTAATTTACATATATGTAAATATATATATATATATATATATATATATATATGATATGTATGTTTACATACTATGTAAATTATCAATAATATGTAATCTGAGTTAATGAAATAGAAGATAGTGGTGGGTATGGCCAAGGTAAAAGGGGTTTATATAGGTGCTTAGACCAAATATGCAAGCTCCCATGAAGGCTCCAATGGGAGGTTATTTTCATCCATTCTAGAAATTATTATGAACTATAACCCAAAAGGGAGCTAAGATATTTAAAGAGAGCCCTGTGTGTCTTAGTGTTCCGAAGGGAGGAAGTTGAGCCTTTGCAATCCCTTCATCAGTCCATTAGACAAATGGTTCTCAAAGTGTGGTCCCCGGACCAGCACCGCCTGGGAACTTGTGAGGCTGCACCCAGCTCTACCGAATCCTAAACTCAAGTGCTTAATAAGTCCACCGGGCACTCCCGATGTACACTACAGTTTGAGAACCACTGCTTTACAAACGTATTCATTTAGCACCCGCTGCACTAGTTCCTAAACTTTACAGTACTTTACAATTCTCTGTGGGGCTTTTAAACTCTGCAGGTCACATCCATACCAATTAGATCAGAATATCTGGCAGGGGGAGGGAGGGTGAGAATTTAACATCAGTTATTTTGTTTTTTAAGCCGCCCAGGTGATTCCACTGTGCAGCACATTTTAGGAACCATTGACCCACTGTGATCTCAAAGAGAGAGATAAGATACATCTTATAGGAAGCAGAAAGTGAGATGCCATAAAAGAACAGAAGAAACACTGTAGGGAGTCTTTTGAAGAAAATGGGAACTTGTTTTTAGAAAATGTCTCCTGACTTTAAGAATTCCCCTCCCCTTCCTGTCTCCCTGTCTCTGCTTGAAAGAATTTGGATTGGGTGCCTCTCACCACACTGCCACACTGCAAGCCACCCAGGACAATGGCAGCCATCAGTCGCTACATGGAGCTGACCATTGAGCCGGTGCAGCAGGTGAGTGGCCATGGGCCAGGGATCCTGAGGCTGACAAGTAGTCATGGAAGGCTTCCTGGAGGAGGTGGCCCTTTAGCTGCAGGTTGGGCAGGATGAGGCAGAGAAGCAGGAAAATGAGGCAGGAGCTCTCCAGGGCAGATGGAGGTGAGTTTGGGAGATGAAAGGCCAGAGAGGAGGCAAGAATGAGATCATTACACCATGGAAGCTGACTATCATCCTGAGGTGATGAAAGTCTAGGAAGCTTCAGGACCAGACTCAGGGTCAGACGCGCGTTTTAGAGCCATCGCTCAGGCAATGCTGGAGGACAGACTAGGGGGAGAGGAGACTAGAGTAAAGGCAGTCAGTGGGGACACTTGTAAGTCCAGGGAAGGGGTGGTGAGGCCTGAACCAAGGCTGGAGTAAATGGAGGAGCAAGGATGGAGCGGAGAGAGTTGGCAAGGAGAGAGTTGAGGGGAGTGAGGATGTGGGTGTGAGGGAAACTGAGGGCTCCAGATGTCTCCCGGGGCACTGGCCTGCATGTGGGGTTCCTCAGGAGGAAACGGGTTAGAGGAAAGGAGAGAGGTGACAAGCCCACTCCATTGTCCCCTGCCCTCTAAGACTGCTCTTGTCCAGGTTACCAGCGACTTCCAAATTGCTAAACCCTGGGGTCATTTCTGTCCTAGTGGAGATTCAGTTCACTTGGCCACTAGCTCCTTGTGACTTCTGGGACCCTCACTTTCCTCGCTTTGCTGCTACCCTCACAGGTCTTCTTTCCCATTCACTTCTGCTGGCTTCTGGCGAGCTTGACTTTAAGGGTGCAGGGCCCCAAGCACTGTCCCAATAGGGCCCCCTTCTCTTGGGACCCTCTTCCAGCCCCCTAGTGCCATAGCTGCACACAGTAGCCCTTGCTGATGTCCCCTGTACCTCGCCATCCATTT